AAGAAGAGTATAAAGGACCACGAAAATGGATGAGTCTCTGAGAATGGTTTGCATTCCGTATACAAGATAGAACCAGGATTATTCAATGTTGTTATATGCTCGGAGACTTTTCCAACAATTTTTAGTGGATGGATACAGTGCAGTTGAATCAGAAAAAATACATTGGATAAGAAAAAATCAAAGAAATTTGCGCTGTGAAACATATGAAAACATGAGAAAGACACTTTCAAAGGGAAATCAAGATGCTTCAGATGTTGGGAGAGTTATAATGCCTTCTTCATTCACAGGTGGTGATAGATGGAAAAGGAAAAATTACATTGATGCAATGACAATTGTTAAAACTTATGGGTATCCCGATGTTTTCTTAACCTTCACGTGTAACAACAAATGGCCAGAGATAACCAGGTATTGCAACAGCAAAGGGCTTAGGCCCGAAAATAGACCAGATATTGTTACGAGGGTGTTCATGATGAAGCTAAACTGCATGATGAAATTTATTAAAGACAAAAATATATTTGGCAGACAGGAAGCAGGTACATTTTTTTCTGCACTTCAGTATTTTTTACTTTATAATTTCTTTTACATTTATAACTTTAACTAATTTATGAAGAATGTATTTTATCATATTGTACAGCTGTATACACGATAGAGTATCAAAAAAGAGGGCTCCCACATGCACATATAGTTATTTGGTTACATCGAGATGATAAGCTATCAAAACCTGAAGATATCGACAATTTCATATGTGCAGAGCTCCCTGATAAAAATGACCATCCTGTTTTATACAACATTGAAACAGAAATGATGATTCATGGTCCATGTGGTGATGATTTCTCCTATAGTCCTTGCATGGTTAAACAACAATGTTCAAAAAGATTCCCTAAAAAGTTCAAAGAAACTACGAGTATTGGTGAGATGGTTTCCCAGATTATAGGAGAAGAGAAGATGGCAGGACATTTGAAAAAGACGGTGCAACTATAGACAACAGATAGGTTGTTGGTTACAATCTAGTATTGACTCTTAGGTATCATGCACATATAAATGTCGAATGGTGCAATCAAGCAGGTGCTATAAAATATCTTTTCAAGTATTTGAATAAAGGTTCTGACAGAGTTTGTTTCAAATACACTATCAATGGTGAGATAATTAGGGAACAATTGGATAAAGGTCCAAAAGATGAGGTTAAAGATTGGTACGAAGGAAGATATCTATCAGGTTGTGAAGCGGCATGGCGTATGTTTTCACTCCCTATAAACTACAGGTCACATCATGTTAAACGTCTAAGTTTTCATATGCCTGGTCAACAGAATGTTGTCTATGATGAGGATCAAACTGTTGAAACTATTGTCATCAGGGCATCCAACAGGCATTCACGGTTTACTGCTTGGATGGAAGCTAATTCCATGGACCCTGAAGGTAAAAGTCTCATATACATCAATTTTCCAAAATATTTTGTGTGGAAAACGAAAGAAAAGAAATGGACCCCAAGACAAAGAGGCTCAAGTATTAGTAGAATTCATGGAGTCCTTATAGCTGCTGGTGAACCTTACTACCTAAGGGTTCTACTTAACATAGTCAAAGGTCCTACATGTTACGAAGATATCATGACAGTAAATGAAACAGAATATTCAACATTCAAAGAAGCTTCCTTTGCAAGAGGGTTACTTGATGATGACAAGGAATACATAGACTGCATAAAGGAGGGCTCTACACGGGGTTCAGCAAATTACTGCAGAAACCTTTTTGCACAATTATTAGAAGGTGCCATTGTGTCACAACATGATCATGTATGGAATGAAACTTGGGACTGTTACACAGAAGACATACCTAAAAGATTGAAATGGTTATATAGGAATGAAGGTAATTTGTTTATATTATAATAATTTATATTTGACATATATTTTTAAAATTTATGCATCTAATGTTAATTACTTTCTTGCTTTCATGTTAACATACAGATTACAATGTTTCTGAAGACAAAATGAAGATGCATGCATTGAAGGACATTGAAATTATTTTACGATCTTATGGTAAAAGTCTAAAGGATTTTCCTGGTATGCCATATCCTGGAGACGTGTTCATTGATGATGGTACAAATCCAATGATCCACGATGAATTAGATTATGACAGATCATTACTGAAAAAAGAACATGATGTTCTTTATTCTAACCTTACTGCCGAACAACTGAAAATTTACGAAGAGATATTGGCTGCGGTTCAAAAAGGAAATGGAGGTTTGTTTTTTGTATATGGGTATGGTGGAATAGGAAAGACGTATGTGTGGCGAACAATTTCAACTGCAGTACGCAAAGAAGGAAACATTGTACTCAATGTGGCATCGAGTGGTATTGCTTCTTTACTGTTGGTAGGTGGAAAAACAGCTCATTCAAGGTTTCAAATTCCCATCAATGTGACAAATGATTCAACATGTACTATAAAAGCAGGAGGTGATCTATGTGCTTTGGTAACAAGAGCAAATCTTATCATATGAGATGAAGCACCAATGGTACATAAGCATTGTTTTAAAGCTCTTGACAGATCACTAAAGGATGTACTAAGACGATCTAATCCAAATGCTCCATATCTTCCATTTGGAGGGAAGGTTGTTGTCCTTGGAGGTGATTTCAGACAAATATTACCAGTTGTTCCTAAAGGTAGCAGAGCAGATATTGTCAACTCTACGATAAACTCATCTCATCTATGGAGACATTGTAAGGTTCTGAGATTGACTGTTAATATGAGATTAGGAAGAGGAAATAATGTGACTGACACTGAGGAGATACGTGAATTTGGAGATTGGTTGTTAACAATTGGGGAAGGCAAAATCAATGAACCAAATGATGGAGAAGCTGAAATTGTTTTCCCAGATGAAGTCATCATACAGACTCCTGGAGATCCTATAGAAGCAATCGTCAGTACTGTATATCCAGATTTGATCAACAGTTTAAATGACACTATATGGTTTCGGGAAAGAGCAATATTATGTCTAACCCATGAGGTTGTTGACAAAGTTAATGACTATATGATCGGACTATTGCCCGGTGAAGAACATGAATATCTCAGTTCAGATAGTATGGAAGCTTCAGAACATGGATTTGAAGCTGACCAGGGTATTTACACTCCTGAATTCCTTAACAGTGTCAAAGTTTTAAATGAACCAATATATAATTTTTTAGTTGAAATACAGGGGGCGCCCGGGCGAGCATCTAGTCTATATTAAATTCAAACAACGCTCGGGAATAGTGCGCTAAGCTAACTAGCAACTATTACTAATAACCCATTCATAGTCTTACACTTGGACCATGTTCAAATGCATTATTTAATTTAAAGGAGATTTATCGTAATTTACTAATTTAGCCCGCCTCCACTCATAAATTCCAAGTTTGTTGGGGGCACCAAATTGAAAAAATGAAATAAATAAAACAAGAAATGATGGAAACAACTATGTACTTTCTTGGCTTCTTGGCTCATTGGAAGCTCATGACATATGAAATCACGTAAATCGTCCATTTCCTCTCCATGCAATCCAAACCAGCTGGTTGCTTCTTGCCGTCTCTTTCTTCCAGCTTTTACTCTAAGTAACCTAAAAACCATACAAATGTATTTTCCTACGTTTTCCAAACAGATAAGATTTCGGTAATATCAATAAATTTATTATTATTAATATATTATAATACCAAAAATAATGCAGTACGTCACATTCAAGAGAAAGAACGGCATCACCAATATTTTTTAGTTTATTTTAAGACCAGATTTTTGTAAAAATCATGAATGAATTAATCAATCAATGATCCCATATTTTAATTGCAAACAATAAAATTATAAAATGCTATTTCCTTAATATATGCATACGGGTCTTTGTCTTTCCAAAATTTCAATTCACAGGAATTCTGCCCTTCTTGACTTCTAAGTGTCATGTTACTTGAAATAAATGGTCTAACTAGATGCTTGCCCGGGCAAATGCCCGGGGTGTTGCATGTATTTTTAAATTGATTAAATAAAAAATACAAATTATTCTTAAAAGAATGAAAAAAAATTAAAAGAATAAAAAATCAATTTAAAGAACAGAAAGTGAGTTATTACACATAAATCTATGCTCAAATTTACAACATTTAATTTATAACAGTTAACTTATGCCCGGATTTACATAAATCATAAATCAATATTTACAACAGAAGAATAAAAAAAAATCATCCTTAAAAAATCAAATTTCTTTCATGACAGCTTATTTTTTCTCTGTTGTAGAAAGAGATGGATTGATAATTGATGTCAGATTTTAAGTAATTGATTTAAAGACCCGGATGTGAGAGAGGAGCGGAATGGAAGAGATTCTTTGAAATTGGGGTTAGGAAGACATTACTGGTGTTTCACTTGATTTAAGGGAATTTCCTAGTATTTGATTTTATCAACTAAATATTGTTGTTTTAAAGGATTAGTATATACTTATAATTAAGATATTTTTATGGAGCTATAATTAAGGGATTTATGTATTTATTTATTCTATCTTTTTTTTTGATTATTTAGAGTGCTACGTGTCAAAAATAATTTTGTACTGAAAATGACTTTTGACGAGAAAATTTTCATTGTGGTGCTGACACATGTCCTTTTTGTTTACTGCTTTAATTAAGTACTATAGATATATGGGAATAGCTAATTTAATGGTATATATAAAAAATAATAATAAGACAAAAATTCAAGCTGGAGTAAGAGTTTGTATATATCTCTCTAACAGAATCATGTCTTTGAACATTTTCAAATTGGACTTAAAAAACTTATTTTAAGGAAGTGTGTCAGAATTACGTAAAGTGTGGGAGGGAATTCAGTTGAAAATAGAGGTATATCGGTATAATCTGTGTTTGTTTTTCAAATTCTCCGTGACATCAATCCACTGGGAGATTTCTTCGTCTCTATCTCTCTCTATATATAAGTACTACTAGTTTATTAAGTCCACAATCTTTTTACAAAACCAGAAACAAAAGGGGAATAAAAAAGAGAAGCATATGAAACATTATTCTTTCTTTGTGGGGCTCAATATGGGTACGATTTGGTTAAGGTTATTAGGGATAATCACATTGATAATTATGATAAAAGGAGCAGAAGTGAGTTATGATGGAAGATCATTGATCATCGATGGGGAGAGAAAGCTCTTGTTTTCGGGTTCGATTCATTATCCACGGAGCACACCAGATGTATGTGTTTCTTTCTTCGTCCCTTTTTTGTAATCTGATTCCTCTTTTGAGTTTTCTCCCTTACACGCTTTTTTCTTTCTTTTATTTATATGTGTGGTTAAATTGTTATGTCTTGGTGATTCAAAAAGTAGGTAAGAAACATCTTGTTTGTGAAATGGAAACACATCTTTTGGGGTTAAATTCTTTCTCAGTTTGTTTTACTTAATTGTACATTAGGAGTTACTGATATACATTGGCGTTTGTCGACGGTGGATATAGAATATTTACGGTGGAATATTATTTAAATATTTAACTTGAATAATTAAAATATCTAAGAAATGACGATTTACAGATAGATATTATAAGGGATAAATTAATAGTACTTCCTCCGTCACGAAAACTAAAAATGAAAATCTAAATTGCACAATAGTTTCGAGACGAAGAGAGTACTGTTTGAGACGAAATATTGTTTTAGACCACGTACTTAGAATAAACGAAGATTTAAGAGGCTATCTTATCACCTTCTTTCTTTCTTTTTTTTTTTCATTTTAGGACGAGGTCTATGTTGGTTCAATTTTTTACCTCTCAAGTTTCGGATTATATCAAGAATTTTCCTCTTTCTATTGTTTGTTAGTTTTTTTTCTTCTTCTTTCCATTTTTCAAGTATTGTTGCTAGAACTATATGACACGTGCCAATTAAAGTCTAAACCACTTGACAATTCTTTTAATCCAATTAGAAGACTTAAATATTAGCAAAATTGGGTGGCAACAAGATGAAAGCTGCACAACAATTGACATTTTGGTGCTTAACAACAAAAGAAACAGTCAGGCAAACCTTGTCTTTACATGAGTTTAGATTCACATGTGAACTTAAGTTTTAGACGACGCAGTTATTGTCAAAGGAAAGAAAAAACAAAGGTACTGCTTAAGATGAATTATTACTTAGTAGTAAAAGGTCAAACTAACAATCTTGGGGGTAAAAAAAATTATATTAGATAGTGGGCTCAATTTTCAAACTGTCCAAATGAGTTAGAGTTAGATTCCTTCTTTGATATATATATATATATATATATATATATATATATATATATAATATATATATTAATTCGGTCGTAATAACTAGACAATTTCTTTATAAAAAAAAAACTATAATAAAGAATAAAAAATTCATTTTATTAAAATAAGTTTCCTCAATAAAAACTAATTAATTTTGTGGGTACGATAATACCAACACTAATGCACCGAATCCCATCAGAACTGCGAAATTGAGCTAATTAATCTCGGTACATACAGTATTTCAAATATATTATATATACCTCTTTGTATACAAACCAGATAATGAAAATCTGGCCTGGGTGAGGGTATATATGCAACGATAACAGTGGGTGAAAAAAATTAATATTCATGGATAAATTTTAAAAAATAACAACAATAAAAAATAAGATGGGCCTTCATTTATTTATGGGCGTTGTTTCTATCCAAGATTTATTTATAGAGTTCATCGCCGTATTTCTTTTCTTCATTGAGCACACGAGGCCAGGAAGAGAAAGGAAGAAAAAACAAAAATATGGTGGTATTATAATTACCGCCATATGTCGCTGTTATGTTTGAATTTGATTTATATCAGGATAGATTTACAACAAATGCTTTTTACATTTTTTTTTGGTATATAATGTTTTGTACATTTTGGATCCACTTCCATTTAACCTATATACAAAACATAATGCATCCATCATCTCTTCACACAGATTTATAAGACTATGAAATTTTGAATATTACAAAAATAATTACTGCTACTTCTGTCTCAAAAAAATAGTACACATTAAATTTTATTTTTCTTAGGACGGAGGGAATATTATACTGTATCTACAATTATGTATTTGAACTTGAAACAAATACTTGAACCGAAAAGAGGAAGATAATAAGGATGTTAATAAGTTAACAGATTTAAATCAACTTGATAAAAATTTAAGCATATTTGGTATTAACCTACTTTTCAAGTAATTCTGACTTTTTTTTATCGTTTGAATGGTTCCCGCCATCGTTTGAATTGACATTTTTAATCACATATTCTCTTATTAGTCACAAAAAAGTTGGCCTATTTAAATTTCACTTTAAACAAATTTTGCATTCTGAATAGAAATTTAATTTAGACGATCATTTCGGACGAAATGACTTATATTTTTAGCTCAAAAGTACGTGCCTACAAATAATCATGAGTCAATAAACTTAGTGAATTCATTAATATTCCATTCGTCCAGTTTTAATCATCATTCTGTTATATCATTTTAATTCAATAAATTAAACCATGAAATTGAGGCGATGGCAGTTCTTTGGTCGTTGAAATAGCCCGCCAACTTAGAAAATTAGCCCAAGACCATTTCGAAAAAGGAGTGAGTTAATTTTTGCCTGCGAGAATACGATATTAATTAACTTCGCATAGACCTAGTGCTTATAGTATAACTTATATATCACACAAAACATTTTTACTTAAGTCATTAACGATTTTGGCTTCTTTTTAGATGAATTCTTACTATGCGAATCTATTTAATAACTATATCATTTTCCTTCCCAACTTAATAGTACTTCCTTCCAAGACTTTATGTTCAAGACCGAAGGGCATAGGTGGATCGTCGCCCTCCCTTCAAATATACTTATCATGTGAATAAAATCTTGAAGGAAGTTTGATTATAATTCTTTCGTCCAAAATAGTTATCTAATTTGAATTTTTGCTTTAGTATAAATTGTATTAAAAACAAAAAAAAAATCTAAATTGTAAAATGGTTCATAGACCAAGAGAGTATATTTTATCATTTTTTATATATATTTTATTTCATTTCTGACTTTGTCATTGGCTATAACAGATGTGGCCATCTCTAATAGCAAAAGCCAAGGATGGCGGTGTAGATGCAATTGAAACATATGTATTTTGGAACCTTCACGAGCCTCAACCTGGCCAGGTAAATGCTTTTGGACTTGTAATAACTTGAGTAATGTAAAAATAATAATAATAATAATTGCGAAAATTCTCATCCAATTTTCATCTCAGTATGATTTCAGTGGGAGACGTGATATAATAAAGTTTATCAAGGAAATTCAAGCTCAAGGCCTTTATGCCGTCATCAGGATTGGACCCTTCATCGAGAGTGAATGGAATTACGGGTAAATATATGTTTTTTTCAATATTTTTTTAGATCCCGATGTTGCATTAACTGATATATTTTAATCGAAAAGAACTGATGAATGTTTAACTATATCATGTATTTTTTTTTTTTGAAGTACAAAAATTCTCTCATAGTCACATGTTTATATTACTTCTTACAAAAAAGAAAGAAAAAAGTTTAAACTATATTTATGGCGTTAACTTAGTTCAACCACATGATTATGAAATGGACTGGATGTACTTTTCATCCTCAACTTTTAAGCGTAGCAAAATCAAGTTATTATGAATTTTCAATTATCAAAAACAGTCTCCTAAAATGTTTTTCTTATCAATTTTGGTCAATTTAACAGAAATTTTTCAAACTTAACAGGTCAAACTCGTTGACCGTTAAATCTTAAATTTTTAAATCTTTAATTTTTAATAAATTTCTTAAACAGTGAGGTCCACTAGTTTGACCAAAATAAAAAAAATTTCTTTTTTCTTTTTTTTTCATTTCTTTTTATTAAAGTTTTTTCTCAACAACAAAAATATCAAAAATCTTTTTTCTTTTAATGAAATTTCTTTTTATTCCCAAATATTTTTTAAAATAATTTTCTTTCTATTACTTCCTGATTTTCTCTACATATTTTCATTTATTTTTTTTTTTACTAAAATTTCAGATTTATCAGTTTTTCCTTAATTCCCTTTTCTTTTACTAGATTATAAATTAATGTTATTAAAAAATCAAACCCGCTGCCGTTGAATGAGGGAAATACTCTCTCCTGTCCCTCCGCTCAAAACTGCCGCCGTTGGTCTTCCCCTTGGTCTAGGTGTCTACTTCGTCGGCGCGGGAAATAGCCGGCGGCATAAATTTTCTATTGGGATCCCTCTGCCGGCGAGGCTGCTCATCCCTCTGCTGGTGGCATAAATTCCCTATTGGGATCCCTCTGCCCAATTTTTATATAATTTAAAAGTAGGGAAAAAAATTTATGCATAATTCTATAGATGCAAAAGGCAGCGTAGCCTCAACTCAACAATCCATTATCACCACCAACTTTTTTTGTTCTCTCCAGTTCGTGGGGAGATAATAAAATAAGAAGCAAAAAAAACAGAGCAAAGCTTGAAGGGCTCTGTTAAAATCCTTTCTTTCTGAGTTTTTTTTGCACAATCCCAGTCCACTTTTTCTTTCCCTAGTGATTGAAAATGGAGCGTGCAAGTAATAATAACAACGGTGTTGGTGGTGAGCGGCGCCGGTTTAATTTGCAGCCTAGGACACTTCCCTTGGAAAGTAATAATAGTGATAAAATTATATTTACTGTACTAATAAACAAATAAATAAATTAATAAAGGTGGTGGTGGGATTTTTTTGGATGGGTTTTGATTTTTTAATAATATTAATATTAAATCTTAATAAAAAAATGATAAATAAAAAAAGGATTTTTTTTTTGTTGGGTCAAATTAGTGGACCTCACCATTCATAAGGAAACTAATAAAAGATAAAATACTTAACGGAAAAAAAAGTTGACGGTTGAGTCTTTAAAAATTCTGTTAGATTGACCTAAATTAATGACAAAAATATTTTAGGGAACTATTTTTGTCAATTAAAAATTCATAGTGACTCAATCTTGTTACTCTCAAAAGTTAGGGGATGAAAAGTGTATTTTGTCCTTATGAAATTGGGACAAAGAGAATATAAAAGGTAAGATCCTTTGATATTTTTAATGATACAGTGATTATTGTACATTTATCACAACATTAATGCAGTTTTGTTGGAAATAATTTGCTTTCTAAATTTTCTTTCTTTCTTTCCTCTCTCTTTTTTTTTTCGCCTTTTCCGGTTCCGGGAACCAAAAGCAAAAATTTGCATTCTCGTTTATTTAATTGTTGTTTTTGTTTAATATATATATATATATATATATATTTATATATATAATCCCATTAGTACATTTGGTGTTGCAGAGGTTTTCCATTTTGGTTGCATGATGTCCCAGGAATTACTTTTCGATGTGACAATGAACCCTTTAAGGTAAAACTTCAAAATATCAACATAGTTTCATTCCAGATGAATTACTTTTGAACCAAAGATGATCTCAAATTTTCCAATTATTATTTCCTCAAAAAAAATTTTCCAATTATCATTGTTGACAGTTCTATATGCAAAACTTCACAACAAAAATTGTCAACATGTTCAAATCAGAAGGACTATATGCTCCACAGGGAGGGCCTATCATACTTTCACAGGTACCAAAGTCTTAACACATTCTATAAGCTTGCACATCATACATTTTTCCAATGTTTTTGCAGCATTATAAATTTATATAATTGGGGCAATGCAGATCGAAAACGAATACCAGAATGTTGAAGCTGCTTTTCATGAGAGAGGTCCACCTTATGTTCGTTGGGCGGCCGCCATGGCTGCAGGACTTCAAACTGGAGTTCCATGGGTGATGTGCAAGCAGAATGATGCACCTGATCCTGTGGTAACCATTTTTATCTTTAAGTATTCCACAGATGGACTCAAAAAATATCAAGCATAAGAGACATTTAGGCCAAAAATGGAACTAAGTTGCTTGTGCTGAAGTAAATGGATTTGAATTTTGCAGATAAATACTTGCAATGGAATGAGATGTGGCGAGACATTTGTAGGGCCTAATTCACCAAACAAACCAGCAATCTGGACAGAAAACTGGACAAGTTTGTAAGTAAGCCAACTCAAAATACACAAATTTCCAGTTTAATGTTGCATTCTGGATAGACCATATATTCATTCTCTGTATCATGCAGTTATCAGACTTATGGTGACAAGACTCCCTTGAGATCAGCAGAGGATATTGCGTTTCATGTCGCATTATTCATAGTGAAGAAGAATGGAAGTTTCATAAACTACTATATGGTCAGTATCTAAAACTCTGAATAGCAAAATAGTCCACTTCATTTTGTTGAAGATCTACATTACAATATATGCTTGATGATGATACAATACACTACACTTAATGCTCATCTGAATGGATTATAGTGCTGAAAGTTAATATGTCGATTTTTGTTGTGTTTTAGTATCACGGAGGTACCAATTTCGGAAGAACATCATCATCATTCATTATCACAAGCTATTATGATCAAGCGCCACTCGATGAGTATGGTAAGCATGCAATACCCTGAGTGTCAATTTATCAGAAGTTTCAGATACTAGCTTACTACGTATAACTCATACAAATCAACAGGTTTGATCAGGGAACCAAAGTATACTCATCTCAAGGAGTTACATAAAGTGATCAAGTCATGTTTGAAGACCATACTCTCTGGAGCAGTCACTAACTCATCCCTTGGGAAACTGCAGGAAGTAAGCTTCAGCAACTTTATTTTTACTGAGTGAAATTTCCCTAACCACAAGCAGAGAGAACTCTTAACAAGCTATTTATGAGAAACTATCATATTAAATTAAGATACTCATCAATTAATTTCGATGCAGGCATACGAGTTCCAAGAAGAAGAAGAAGGAAAATGTGCAGCCTTTCTTGTCAACAATGACAAAAGAAAAATAGCAGAGGTGCAGTTCCGGAACTATACTTATGAACTACCTCCAGTGTCTATCAGCATCTTACCAGATTGTAGCACGGTAGCCTTCAACACAGCTAAGGCAAGCTCTAAAGCTCCATTTTCTTTAGAATGTTCAAACATAATTTCTAGCAAAAGCAATGCCTGAATTTTACACGTGTTTTTGGAACTTTTCTTATCTCCTTGTTGCATACAAGAAAAGATAATGTTGTCTTTGTATGTTTATACTGAATTGGAAAAGAATCTTAAATAACACAGTTTGGAACAGGCAAGCACGCCATTCAATAATAGATCGACTCTACCAGTTATTGAGTTTGACTCAACAGACAAATGGAGCGAATTTAAGGAAGATGTCCCAGAATTTGAGGAGACGTCACTAAGGTCTAACTCATTGTTGGAGCACATGAATGTCACAAAAGATAGCACAGATTATCTTTGGTACATTACTCGGTAAGAAGAAAATATCATATCAAGGAAAACACACACTCCTTTATTCATTTAACTCTGACTCTCCGGTGTTAAATTCTCCCTTGATGAAGTTGCTACAAATACATGTTATACCTTTAACTTCTCTATTCATTTCATCAACAACCGTATCACATGGACTAAGAAATATTTTCAAGCAGCGACAAAAAAGACGCTTTTTTGTTGAACTTAAAATGCAGGAATCATGCTTGTCATGGTCCTGACAGTTATAGTGTCTGCATTTGCAGGTTTTCTTTATCAGGTTCATCAGACACTCGAGCATTACTTACTGTGAATTCAAGAGGACATGCTTTACATGCATATGTTAATGGAGAACCTACTGGTAAGATCCCATCTAAATGTATTGTCTTTTCGAGTATTTTTATTGCAAGCCATTTCTTGGGAAATAATTAAGACATAAAGAAAATCAAGCTAACAACATTTGAGTCTACATATTGGTTTGGTGTGAAGCATCAAAATAAAATACCATGTATAGGCGGCCATTACTTCCAGCAATATAATGAACTTGACAATTCCTCTTGATTAAGCCAAAAATCTTTATGTTTCTTCACTATCTACACTAAAAATGCTTGGACTTTGTGTGCTATTTATTTAGGTTCTGCAAATGGAACTCACAAGAACACATCTTTTAAATTGGAAAACACTGTTGATTTAGTTGAAGGAAAGAATGACATCTCCCTACTCAGTTTAACAGTAGGGCTTCCGGTAAAAACTCTTTTCTTCATCTTGGTCACCTTATGCTCAAACTATCAAGTTATATTATCAACTCCCTGGTTTACAGGATTCTGGGGCATTTCTTGAGCGCCGGGCTGCCGGGTTGAACAAAGTTCTGATGCAGCACAACGATGACACAAAGGATCTTAGCGAGTCTGAGTGGGGATATCAGGTTGGTAACCGCTACAAATTACTCATCCAGACTTCTGTATCAGCACCATTAAGTACTTAGAAGGAACTAGAGTGTAAAGATAAATAAAAATAAATAAATATTGCATCATCAACATTAGAGCTCTCAACTTTTTTTTTTGGATTGAGCTGCTTAACAAATATGGCATGGTCGTTTAAGGTTGGATTGCAAGGGGAGAATTTACAACTTTACACAGACGAAGGATCAAGTGCTGATCAGTGGAGCCAACTGAGTTCATCGCCTCAACCACTAACATGGTATAAGGTAATTCTGATGAACCAAGTAGTGAATAATAGGTATCAATTCAGAATCGGATATCCTTAAACTTTACAAGTTATCTTTTGAGTGATTTTCACTTGTATACCATTTCCCTACAAAATATAGGATCTACTGGAATCATATATATTTACATGCACTGATGAAAACTGGTCAGGATTTTGGAATAATGTTTTACCTATCTACTCAATGTTGGAGTAACTTTATTCAAATTCCAAATAACAGACACAATTCGACGCTCCTGGGGATGATGGTCCGTTTGCAATAAATCTAGGAACCATGGGGAAAGGCCAAGTATGGATCAACGGTCAAAGTATTGGCAGATATTGGGTTTCCTTACTTACAGATACTGGCTCTCCTTCACAAACATGGTATATTCTCAGTTCTCACAATATGTTTCAAATACATTCAATCACCGAACTTGAAAGATTTTCTTAACAAATTTTTAAGAGCCATTTTGGAATTTCATAGACAGACTAATTTACTAAGGAATGGTGTGTGATACAAACTTATAGACAAATTCCCTACTTTACATTCCTTAAACATTGAAACACGTGAATGGTATTATGTCCTTTCATCATTCTCCAAACCATTTCTTTTTATGAACTGAGACCATATCCGCTAATGCACAAATGTCTATAGGAGTTCTCAGCGTATATATGTATGGTTCAAGTTTCTACAAATCTATAACTTATAGTTTCTGGATGATTGGCATTATCCTTTGTAGGTACCATATACCAAGATCCTTTCTCAAACCTGCAAGCAACCAGCTGGTTTTGTTTGAGGAAGAAGCTCGAAGCCCTCTCGGCATTTCCATCGACACCATCTCAAATAATAAAGTATGTGCAAAGGTATCAGATACGCGAGCAGAGAATTTGTTTCCAGACGAAAAACCAAAAGCAAGATGCAGAAGACATGTGAAACACCACCACAAACAACCTAGACGAGTTCGGCTACACTGTCCATCCAGAAAAGTAATTTCTAGACTTTTGTTTTCAAGCTTGGGAAGCCCTGTTACTGACTGCGGAAGTCAAGCCATTAGGAGATGCCAGTTCTCAAATTCAACAACAATGGCTAAAAAGGTTGCTAGCTAGTCCTTTATTTTTATTTTTATTTTTTTTTGGTTTTGGTTTTAGTTCTATTTCAATGAAATCAGTCCAACCTAACTTTTCTTCTTTTTGTCCTAGGTTTGCATGGGGAAGAGGCATTGCTCTATCCCTCATTCATATAAACAATTTGGTGGAGATCCATGTCCAGGCATTCCCAAATCGATATTAGTCACAGCAGAATGCTCATAAAGATTGAGAATGAATCTTCACTTGAAAATGTACATGTAGAAGTTGAAGAGAAAAATAGCTAGGCAGATGCACATATATGGCAATAGTGTTAATTTAAATAAATAGACTAGCCAATTTCTTGTAACTAAACAATTATCTCTTTCTTACAGCTAGTAAGAACAGAGAAATCTCTTCAACGATAAGGTACAACACCAACAAGAACCATAAAAGATATGCCTAATGTAATTCAATTTCTTGTTACATTTAAATATTCTGAAAAAATAAAATCGAGAACTTGTAAAAGATAAGAGTGGTCAACAATTAAATGACTTGACGAATAAATAAATAGCTAATAATATAGTATGTATATGCAAATACTTCTCTTGTCCCAAAGTTATTGTCCACTTTGAATTTTTTAAATATAGTATACCTAAACTAAAACTAAAAATTTAAAGAGGACAATAATTTTGGGACGAAATAAGTATGAGCATGCCCTTGAAATATATAGAGTTGGAACCCAACCTCGATTAACCATAGACATTTTCCACATTTGGTAACAAAAGTTTCGCCTTAGCCTCTGCGGAACTTACAACGAAAACAACAATATGCATTGAAAAACTGGCATTTGGAGCAATAGTGGAGCTTAAAACGTCCACAAATACAAACGAAACACTTCACCAAATACAACATGTTTCTTCATTTTGATATCGTAAGAGTTAAAATGAAAAAGGTGAGTTGATAATGAATACTATATCCGTTCTAAAAAAAATAGTCTATATTGAGTTTTCGAATTTCTATTAAAAATAGTACAAAACTTAAAACTCAATATGGACTATTTTTGTGGGATGAAGGGAATAACAAAAATGATATTGATAGAATATTGTCTGGACTTATTAATCACACATTTATTAAATGAATTTTCAATTACTTTTGATATGTTTTATATATACTTGGAATAGTAATTATTTGACTAAGAAATGAGAAGAGGGGAAAGGGGAAGTATGACTTCTTCTTCATATACATAGCTAAAGGATCTACGGGACAATTACTTAGAAGTGCATATATATGGCATATATTGGTGCATCTAATGATGCCCCTATCACTGATTCAACTATTTTCATTTATGACCTTCTCCACGAGGAGTCTGGTAATAGGGGGTCCGATCGATAGAAGGTTCAAGGTCAGTTCTCTAATCATAAAAAAGTTAAAATGAAGACTTGTTTGGCTCTTTACCTTACGTTAAGAAGAAAAAGAGGAGGTATGAAGCAAGTCATAGTTCTAGAAAAAGAGGCAAGTCTCCAAGAGAACTATAGATGAGACTTTCATCTCGTATAGCTCGAGCAAAACCACCCAAAGACTGGTCGCTCCACCGGTTCCGATGTCTGATCCATAAATTCTCACGCTAGCATGTAGTTGTGCTGTCAATGAGAAGGTCAAAGGATCTACAAATGATGGGATTTTTGTCGGAAGCATATGCGGGAGGGAAGAGGGCCACAATACTTCTTGGTCTTTGTGGCCTGACATATTTTTTAATCTATGACAACCCTGAGTGGTGGCAATGTATTTTTTTGAAACGAGAGAACTATGAAGGGATCAAAATTGATTTTATTTTTCGTGAATTCAAAAACGATCTCAATGATGAACATTTTTGCCCCAACAAATCCAGCATCGGGTCGGTGTCCCCCTCCTTCCTTTGCAGCCTCCGACCTGCAGGAGTATACAATGACAACTTCCAGGCATGAGTGCTCGCCCTCAAGCCCTGGGCTGCTCGACTGGGTCTTTCTCTATGGTTCTGTTCCTGCTTGGCATTGAACCCACAAGTCCCTATATTTTTTACTTATATCATCAGAATCATTAGCACTTTCACTTAGAGTAAAATCACTAAGCATCGCATGGGTTCGTATCTAGAGCTTTTCCTTATCCAAGAGGGTGGAAAGAGTATTGGTTATCGAATTCAACTATACAACTAAAGAAAAGAATACTTTATTTTTATTCTTTCTCAAATTGGGGAGGGGAGAGGGGATCCCAACCCGCAACGTATGTCCTAGCCGTAAACGATGGATACCAGGTGCAGCCACTACTTCGGATCCCCCCCCTCCCGTCTGCAATTTTTGGCCCCATATTCTGACTCAACTACACTAGTAGGCATTACAAGGTTGACGGCTTCATTAGGCCGACTAGGTCCCCCGCTAACAGAAATTGCATTAAGGGCGTTACGACGATATACGAGAGGCAATGAGAGAATAAAAATTCATCCTTCTGCTTTCTCTTGTGCTGGCCATCCTTCTAAAACTCTTTTTGGACGTGTTCTAAAAAATTTGAGGTATTTTGAATTGTTTGTTGACACAGAAAAAGTCAGGAAAAAAGGGTTACACATTACCCAATCTATTCGACTCAAGGTCTGACGTCAACGTAGGAAGGCCAATCGAACGAAGCTCTTTTTTTGGCCATCAGGAGCCATCTTAACTATGAAAACTCACAACATATTTTTCACTCGCTCCCTGTACAGCTCCGGCTGGGAGGCATCTATCTCGTCTCAATTACAAGGAGAGGTTCACTATTGGGGGTTAATTTTTTTCCTTGCTTTCTGTACCCCCTGCTTGGAAGATCGGCTGCTCCCGACCCAGTAGTCCTACAAATACCACCACCGTTTTGCCAACGGGACATGAGTGGGTTCCTATCTGGCATATGAGAACCGATCACTAAAATACCCCTAAAAGGGGAATAAGGCTAAGTGGAGCACTTTCGGATTCTCCCACCCCCCTCCCCCAATGAGAATAACTTTATCCCGTCTTCTAAATCAAAAGAAAAAGAAGTGAGTAGCTCTGTGACAACACTCCAGAGAAAGTAACGCATGTGCGAGGTCTCCCGCATACGGCTCAAGTGGCGAAGACCCATTTTAGTCAAAGTGAAAGATAGGGCCTTCCCCTTACTAAGAAACTACTCACAAAAATGGTTATGATAAGAGCCCCATTTTTATTTAATAAAAATATTTTTCTATTAAGTGATCAAAGACCCCTTTTTGGGATTCAAAAGGAAGCTTTTCTCTTCCTCCGTTCTAGTATAAGCACCTAGTTTCATGGCACCGGATCTATTAGGCCTGTTTAGCACGTTTCCAAAGTAAACCCTAAGCGGCTTTGGAAAGTAAGGACCAAGTGACAAATGAAAAGTCCCAGCTTAGCTTGGCTTTAGTTAGAAAAATGTCTTTCGCATGGTAAACCACAACCTTTCAGGTCCCCCGACTTATTTTATCATAGAGGCCATCGCCTCTCTCTTACACCGAGGGTTTGGTTTACGCTCATGAATCTACCAACATTACTGCATTGCATTTAGAGAAAAGCCCCTCGAGCTCTAGGTTTCAAGAGGGGTAACCCCTTATACATACGTCTTTTACTGATTTTTTTAGTAAGTTAGTGATTGGTTCTTTCCGATTCTATTTCCAATTGGTGTTTTTTAGGTTCTTTGTGCTAAGTTTTGGACTCAGAGTACTGGCAAGTCCTGGTTCTAGGAAAAAGGCTCGCTGATTCTTTCAAAAAGAAACACCAGGTACTCCCCGCTCCATCGGTCAAGCAAATCATCAAATCGTTAGAAATAACATCTTCTTGTTGCATTAAAACATATAAATGTTGACTAACCAGGCTAAACATGAGAAAAATGGACTTTAAATTTCCATAAAATCAATTGCTAATAATAAAATAAAAATAAAAAATCACATCTTTTTTTTTTTTTTGCTTATCCTGTGAAACGAATGGCGAGGATTGGTTGCATAGGTGACCTACAGTTAGACATATACACAAAGAACCTAAAAGACACTGCTTTTGTGCCATATATACGAAGATTGCTGAGAGACATGGTCAAAGCCCGGTCATTTTTTTTCATATGCCGGCTGGATAGTTTCATTCAATATCGTGCGTGATGAAGGACCTCAAGATTGAGAGCTGGTGGATGCTCCCCTAACAGGCTGATCAAATTTTCTATGTTTTTCTATCAATGCTACTAGCTAATCGATCCGTAAGAGGAACATTCCATATAGAAATAGAAGAGCCAAACAAGAGCAACATAGGATTCATTTTTGCTAGAGTGCCCGAATCACCTATATATTTATTAAAACAAGGAATTAGACTTATTTTTTTCATGATGAGGGGAGTCCTCATACCTAGAAAGTTTAAGATTACTATTACGAGCTACGACTCACTTAGGGTCGCCCTCTAATTCCTTTTCCCTTAATCCTAATGAGTGTCAACTTTGCATGATAAATAACATAGTTTCTAGTTTTCTTCCTAGTTTAAAGTTAGTTCAGAATAGTGTATTTCTAAATTATTTTTGTACTTTCTTGTGATCAAGGACTAAATTACAAAATGTTGGAAAAAGGTGGACAAAAGCGAGCAAAACATCAAACTTGGTGATTGGACTGGAAGAGCAATTTTTGTAGCAGAAATGCAGGACCACAACCAAAGCTGAAACCCGACCCTCAGGAGCTAAAACAGGACCATTTAGAGGCCAAAATTTCCAAGAAAGAGGCAAAAACTTTGAGGCCAAAGAAGAGCTGGATTACGTGCCCAATGCGGTCCTAGAGAATCAAGAAATATGCAAACAAAGGCAGCTATAAATTCACTGAAGAGCTAAGAGGCAAGAATGTGGTCTTGCAACCGAGAGACGTGGCTGCTTTAATTTGAGGAAAGGAGAACTGCTGCTCTATGAAAGGGAATCATCAAGTAAAAGCAGAGAGAGAGAGAGAGAGAGAGAGAGAGAGAGAGAGAGAGAGAGAGAGAGAGAGAGAGAGAGAGAGAGAGAGAGAGAGAGAGAGAGAGCTCAGAAACAGGCCAACTCAGGGTAGGAGCAGAGACAACCAATTAGACATGTAGGAAATCGACTATGTTGAGTCGACTGCAACTATTGCAAAAGCTTGAGTCTTTTCTGTCTCTCTTGTATCTTCTAGGTTGCAATAATATTTTTCTCTATGTTTTTCATGGATTTTGTATTTAAATTACTAAGTATGAGTGGCTAAACTCATTCCGGGGTTGAATCCATCTTTTCATGTAGTATGCTTTGGATTTGGATTTTGATGATGTTGTGTTTTTCAATTTTAATGCTTGAATTAACCTTATGTTTAGACCGATCAACTAATCATTTGTGCTTGTATATTTTGTGAATCCCAGATGGGTAAGCATAGTTTAGAATGATTAAAACTGGTCTTTAACTTAGAGAAACAATCTAACGGCTTGTATGGACTATGGCTTGTTTTAGTTTTTGGTTTGAGTTTGAGATGTGATTTAAAATATATTTTTAGAGGAAATTTAAAAAGTTGTTTAGGTAATATTTTAAATAAAATAATAATATTTTACACTACCCCGAACCACCTCCACCATCGACGCCGCTGCCGGGCCGCCAACTGCAGCCATCAGACTGCCGCCGGCTGGCCAATCAAATTCCGGCTAACTCGCCAAAATTCGGCCAGCCGGCCGACGGCAGTAGGCAGTCCGGTGGCGGCGGAGGTGGTCCGGTGGTTGTGGATAAAACTTGTTTAAAAATAATTTTTGAAATAAATTTTAAAAAGTAAATTAAAAAGTTATTTGGATAGTATTGGATTTTGTGTTTGAGATATGTTTTAAGAGGTAAAATGAGACAAAAAGGCAAAATGAGAGTTGGACAAACAAGCCCTAAAGTTCCAAACAAGAATGGAATGTACTTGTTTGGAATGGATGATCACTAAGACTTTAGCTATTAATTAATGGTTTTGTATGATTTAATCTCTTACTCAGAAGAGAGCTTGTTAATCATGAGAAGACACCTCCTGAAAAATTGAAGTGATCTTGAGATACATATGCGTCTGATCAAACACACTTCATATCAAAAGTAGTGTAACACCCATTGCAAATCTGCATAGGAAGAGAGGAGGATACCCCAGACTCTCCACTTAGTCAAGTCAGTTTCTCACTAAGCTAATTAAACTGTATTCTTTTCTTGTTCTATCTGATACTCTGTTTATGTGTCACCTACTTGCATGAGTAAAAAATCCACTCACGCGAGTCACAACTATATTCACTCTTGCAGTTAGTTTTTTTGTTTTGCTTTGAACTTTTCGATTATGAGTTGTGCACCGTCTCCGCGGATCGTCTCAAGTTATCACTATCGTAAGTTTTAAGTTGGTTCCAAATTTTTTTTGGCTGGCCTGACAAGCCGTGGCCATATCCATTTATTATGGTTGGCCCCTTTATGGTGGAGTTCGTCCCATTCAGTTTGAGGTCATGGATGGACATTATGATTGAGGCACAACCCTGAGGTTATGGGGAAAGATGTAGATCAACTGCCCTAGATAGACGGAAAGTTTTCTCTCCAAGGCATCTATAGGACCTGAACACATCGACAATCCGGTTGCGAAAATAACAGTTACAATACATGTTATCCAAAGAAGAATTGTTCAAATTGTATTGGCTTTTTTCTTCTTTGGATGGACTACAGTACTCTATCTCCATCCGGAAAGTATGTTCTTAGGTGCCGATGGGATGAATTTAGACTCTGTTAGAATTAAGGGAAAAAAAACCTCTTGGTTCATAGTTCGCTTTCGTTCAAAGGCATTTCTATTTTCATAGGTGCGGGAATGAAATTTTAAATTTTAATTTATTGAAAGTCCAAAAGAAATAATATATCTTTATTTAAATTGAAATTGAATGACAGTCTAGTGGTTAGGTTGTTGTCTTTCTTGGTAATAGACCATGGTTCGATTCCCACTAGGGGTTGTAAGAGGGTTTTACCCGAAATCCGAATATGCTCTGTTTTTCTAAAAACTGGGGACTCCCAGTTAGCTACCGATTCGGATTTGCGAAATCCGAGTCCCTTACAAAATGAGAGGATTCGGATGTCCTAAATCCAAATCTTTGTCAGAACTGAAAAAAAAAAAGTTGGACTGGTCTTAACAAGTCCAAAACCTGTTTACAGCACCAACAACAATGAAACATAGAAAAACAAAAATCTAATGGAAACAAAACAATAAACGTCATTCGATTAACAATGAAACATAACAAGTTTCAATACAAAATCAATCAAAAAACTACTTTAAATGTAAAAATACATCAAAGGGCTCATTTTTTCCCTTTTCATTTCTTAAGCGCATCCGGAGTGTATTTATTTGGCCCCTGCCGGTTCCTGTCTTCCCTCCGAAGATACGTGAGTATTGAACCCTGTTGTTGACGCGGTTGGAGTTGGGATTGGGACTTTCCTATGGTGAGAAATAGGACTCCCGGTTGTGGTTGCGGTTGTGGTTGTGACTCTCCACCAAATTGAGTCTCAGGTCCACCAATGTCTTCAAATTGAGTCAGGACCTGGATGTGCGAGCCTCTAGAAGAAGTCGCCTCGCCCTCTCTTTGTTGACCCTCATTTTGTTCTTGCGATGTCCGAGGGGGGATCACTATCTTTCTCTTTCTTCCTCCTCCAATCTTATCTCTCGACCACGGTTTCGCTTTTTTACCCGGCGGAGGTTGTGAGGGCATAGATGGTTCTTTATCAACCAGGATTTGGGTATCGTCCACATCAATCTCATCATTTGCACCAAGGGTTAAAGCAGCATGTGCTTGATCGATGATTTTGTTCAAATGCTCCTCGAGTTCATCGTCTACGAGATTGTTATCATCTCGTTTATCTCTAAACTGCTCGGAACTCACGCGAATGTTGTTCAATACTTCACCCTGAAAAGAAATTGGAACGTTAACTAAGAGAGTAAAATATATAAAAAAAGAAAAAAATAAAAGGAAAATATAAGAAATAAGATACCAAAAATATAGAATGAACTCACATATAATTTCACTTGGCTCGAAGAAGTCTCGTATCCTTTAGGTGCATAATTTTTGGGATTGGATATCAGTTTGACAGTGTTCATTATGAACCATTCATAGTATCCATCATATACTTGGCCAGGGTATCTGACCTCCAAATCTTGTAGAACGTACTTTTCTCTCTTTCTCCAGTGAGGACGTACTGCGGAATGGTGATCCACCCAATTGTTGCTAGGATATCCAGACATACTATGGGCGTGATCGAGAAGAAATGCTATGTTATCTTTAATCATAGGGCGACTGGAAACACCCTGTATGTATCCAAATTGTCTCACAACTGTGCCCGACTCGTGGGGTTCCCTAATTGCCCAACAGAACATCCAACACCTAGTCGTCCAAATGGCTTGGCCTTGTTTACAGAAATCAGGGAGTCTATCAAGGACCTTTACATATGGTTGCCACCAAAACTGCATGAAAAGAATTTATTTAAATGGTATAACCGAAGAAAAAAGAAATTCAAAATAAATATAAATACCAAATTAAGTACTTACATCTTCAACACGCAGGCTTGTTAATTGATCTCTAAAAGGTGGCAAGCTGCTCCTTGCGACGTCTCCGTAGGTGTACCTACATTCCCACCTTAATGAACAAACACGAATGGGTTACATTTGAATTAGTAAAAAAAATGGATAAGAAACAAATAGAAATAAATATTGAGTTATTTTGAAATGAAAATATGTACCGCTCAGCTAATGGAGCGGTCACATCAAGTATATAATCTACTCCTTTTCTGTGTGGCGCTATTCTCTCGATCCGCTCATACGCCCATACCTAGTAAATTTCAATAATAATGTTAACACTTCAAATTATAACGTTGAAAACAAAAACAATTAAAACACCTATTAAAAACTAATACTTACCTGTAGCAAGTATAGACAGCCAGTGATGTCGTGCATTGTGTACTGGGATGCTTCACACAGGCTAGAGTACAAACCAGCCAGCAGGGCTGATCCCCAACTGTATCGACTACACTGCTCCAAATCCTCAACCTGGGCCAAAAACTGCAGATTGACAGTGTTTTGAGTCTTGGTAGGAAACATGAAACTGTTCATAAAATGCAACATTAGTGTCCGGATCCTTTGCTCGAATCGTTGGACTGGGGAATCTTCAGGGAGTGCACAACCCATCTCATCCTCGAAAACACTGATATTGACAAATTGGCCATTTATTTGGGCTGGCCGAAATCCCAAATAAGTCTCACATTTCGCTCGCCATTCCTCTGCACTCCGGCTAACTGTCGTCCCGTACACTGGGTCACCATCCACCCGAATACCAAAGAGGACCTCGACATCCTGTAGTGTCACAGTCGTCTCTCCGAAATTGAAGTGGAAATTGTGGGTTTCTGGCTTCCACCGTCCAATTCAGAATGATATTCCAATTGACCGTCGGCCATTGTTGCTCATCAGGAATCGGAACAAAACCCGTGTAATCAAATTGTCTGCGCTATGCTGGAAGGCACCACACACTATGGTATAGATCAATAGGCCGATTACCTTTTTTCCGGCAAACTTGGAGTGCGTGCGTACAAGGTATCCGGTACTCTTGCCACTTCCTGCACGAATACCTATGTTCATCGTAGTTCACCGTATACAAAGACCCACCCCTGCCACTTAGCCGTGTGGCAGTTACAACCCGCCACCTAGCATCATCACCATCAAAAGGGGTGGCATCAAAACTGGCTGCTTTGTCGTTCATTTCCTCATATGTTTTTCCATAACTCAGGAAGGATCGGTGTCAATTTCTCGCACACAATTGTTCTTCTCTGTAGAATTTCACAGTCTTGCGAAAGGTTGCATCGATCAAGGCTCTAATTGGTAAAAACTAGATCCCTTTCAACGCATTGTTGTAACTCTCAGAAATGTTGGTTGTCGCTATGTCCCAACAGCGAAGACCGGCTTTCAATCGAGCCCAGTTACTCCCTCCATCCCTCGAAGATACTCCCATGCAGCAGGTTTGAATTCAATAAGCTCGGCCCTATACGGTTGTATTTCACTCTTGAATGCGTCGTGCCCATCTTCTAACATAACCGCTTCACATTTCTGCTATTATATCACGACACAAGATTGCTGCGAACGTGGGGGAGGCAAAGAAAGTGGCCACCATTTCCTAAATCATGCCATTCATCCATCTGTGACATTACACCAACAACCTTGCATTCCGGTCGGATATCACACTTATGATTCTATCCTACAAAACCCACAACCTCAAATTCCTCATAAAAAATGTCCAACTCTCTACTGTCTCCTCATCCACAATAGCAAATGCAACCGGTAAAATATGCTTGTTAGCGGTATAGACCACACGCAACAAGCAATTTACCCTTGTATCCACCACGCAAGAAGGTTCCATCGACACAAATGACCGGTGGACATTCAAGAAATGTTGCAGCCACTGGTGTAAATGACCAGAAGATGTATTTAAATGTCATATTTCCCCTGTTCCAACCTTCTTGTCCCTCCTTCCATTCCCACTCTACTATAGTCTCAGGATTAGTAAACTTAAGCGCCACGATATACCTACACAACAAACCAGTCATAGTTAAAATATTTCAATACATTTAACAAACAAAAATAATGCACATAACAATACGGATAAAAGTTGATATTTACCTAGAAAGTTCTTCAAAATTCGAGGTCCAATCACCATAGACCGCTTCTATTGCTTTCCTCCTCCTGTGCCACACCATTTTGTATTGTACATCTACTTTCAATAAGGTCTTCACATCTTTCTGTGCCGAGGCCACCGTATAATCTACGTTGTCCTCAACCTTTCTCCTGACGAGTCTAGCAATCAAAGACGCGTCCACACACCGATTGTCATTATCATTCACGGGAGTCATGCAATTATGTGCATCATGCCATCTCACAATTTCATGAAGGCCGTGATCTTTCAAAGACACACGCATCTTCCACTCACATGGTGGTTCACCATCCTCACTTTCCACATTTAATGTTCTGCACCGCACAACCCACGTCTTCGGACTACTCGCGGCGACCGTATATTCTATGATGGATGTGCCATAATTTCACAGCATGCTATGCTTCTGATTGGGATTTGAAACAAACACCAATATCCATTCCTTCGGGCGTTTCATCCCACATCTTAAGAGCAAACTCATCTTTGTCCACACACGAGGCATCTCATTTCCCCATCTTACTATATACATGGCGTCGGGGCAATGGATTTAGATCCCTTTCCTCATTTTCTAATAATTCATCATCACTTTCTTCAAATCACTCTCTGCAGAGACATCACGGCCTTCTTCGCTTTCGCTTGGAGCTATGTAGTCGGAATCCGACTCTTCCATATAGTCATGTTGTGCAAATAAAGGTGTCTCCTCTTCATCACGGTTTCGAGAAGTACTAGCACGTTCCCCCTTGGAAAACCACCAAATGACACGTTATTTTCCAAACTCGCTTCTCTTTCTTCGTGAGTGATATCTTCCAAATCTATGTATAAATCCAAACATTACATTGGAGCTACACGGTTCATGAACTCTACATGCGAATCATTCTTGATCTTCACTACACGCCTACCACCGGGACTATCGAAAATCACAGAAAGGTGTAGTTTCATGCGTGTTGGATCCCAGCCAAGTGTCATATAAATGTTACTAATCAATTCATCATATGACAACCTTTCCTCAACAAACAAACCATTTTCCGGTATATTCGAAAAAGTGTTGATGCTACCATTCTCTATCACATACTTGCTTGTATGAAACAAATTAAGCATGTATGATACATTACATGCCATTGATAACTGTTTAAAAAAAAATCAATATATAATCATTTCTTAATAACAAAATCAACAAATACACCATACATACTCCATTCATAATTCAAAAAACCTATAAAATCCTAAAATACTTATAAATCAACTTCTATCTCATGAACAACTATGATTTATCATTTCTAACCTCAAAATCAACACCTAAAACATCCAAACAACCAACAAACAACAACTCTAATCTATCATACATCATTCTAACAATCAAAATAACACAAAACTAAAATAAATAACATGATTTTGCAATCTAACCTCTTTTAAATAACGATTTCCACGTATCTAGCGGTAAGGTTGCATCAAAAGCTCCAATTCGCCAACCAAGAGCTGCAGAAACAGAAAATCCAATTCAGTTCTTGAATGAGAACTGGCTGATTTTTTTTTCTTTTTATAGCACGCTAAACTCGGATTTTCGAAATCCGAATCTGTAAGTAACTCGGATTCCTTAAATCCGAATCTTTGTAGCCTCGGATTTCAGAAATCCGAGTTTGGTCAATTTCAAATTTTTTATTCCATTTTTGGGTCCTCAATTTATGGTAGATGCCTACTTCCACCAACCAAAATTAAAAGCATTCGGATTTCCAAAATCCGAATACTTGTATCCGGATTACGGAATTCCGACTTTTTGGATTCAAAAATTTCGCGTCTTATTTTTTTTCTTTTGGGAAATTTGGATTGTAAAAATTCGAATGGTACTGTTCATTTTCTGTTTTTTTAGTATAATTCCACAAAATGTATATAATTATTATTTTAGTATTATATATGGATTTGGATTTCAGAAATCCGAAGGTTTAATTTTAATTAACCCTCTGATTTCAGAAATCCGTGAGATATATATATATATATATATACATATGTCCACAGATATTCTTAAAAATTTAAATTTGTCCATCTTTATTTTAATCAATTTTTTTAGGGAAAAAATTCCATTATTAATCTTGAAGACCTAGTCCGGTTTGATAAACTCATGCAGCATTTAAATATAACTAATCGACACTGTTTGATAATGTGATTGCATAATAACTTAATTGATTAATTAATTAAATTATTAATTTTTAAGTGTATTTGATAACCAAATATAGGATGATATTTTCATAAAGTAAGTGAGTCTAAAAAAAGTGATAATCCTATCACTTATTACTGAAATGAATTCTTGAGATTTTTTTTTGTTTCTCTTCTTAATTATTTAATTTTGTGCTTATTTTTTGATATTTTATCTTTTTTTTAATCTTGGTGTCTATTTTTAAATTAATTTTTTTATTATTTAATGTATTGGTGTTTAGTTTTGTGTAAAAAATTAAAATACGAATACAATCCATGATAAATAAATATATACTTACCACAAGGATATCCTATTATTATTACTTAAAATAATTACATAAATGAAAATAAATTTTTATTATAGAAATTCATAAAAATATATTTATTTTTATTGTCATGGTTTCATACATATCATTTATTTAATAACTTCAGATTCAGTGTTTAAACTTCAGATTTCAGATTCAGTATTCAGATTTTGATTTTCACAACTATACAAATTTAATTAGTTCAATACTTATGATTCAATTTTGAGATCATAAATTAAATTTTATTAAATATGGCCCTGGTTCCGGGTTAATTGTCCTCTTCATCCCCTTTGCTATTTCACCGTTTCAAGGATTGCCAAAAAGGTCAAAAAGCTTTTCTTTGAAATTGGAAGCAACAAAAGGCGGCAAAACCAGACGCCATTGGCCGGCACGTAACAAATTCAAAATGTTCAGTTCCAAGTCCCTCCGGCCGTCTACATCGCCGTTCCGGTCGCGCAAATCCTCGGCGCCATCCCCTACCTTCCCCCAACTGAAACGCCCGCCTACTCCTTCCTCATCGAAGTCCTCCTATAAGCCTCCGTCGCCGGTTTCTCCGCCAGCAAACACCACCACTACGCAGTTTACAACACATACTCGGAGCATTGATCATTTTCCGCCTGATTCAAGCAAAGCTAAAGAGAATGTGACCGTTACGGTCCGATTTCGTCCCCTCAGGTATTATTACTCTGTGACTTTTAATTGAGCTCATTCTGATGTGGCGGTTGCGTTTGAGCAAGGTGACAGCATCTGATGAGTGATGATTCTCCCATCTATGGATTTTGTTATTCATGGCAGCGGTAGAGAAATTACTAAAGGAGATGAAATAGCTTGGTACGCAGATGGGGATTACATAGTACGGAATGAATATGATTCCTCTGTTGCCTACGGCTTTGGTTAGTGCTCCAACCATGTCTGTTCCCTTTCATTTTGAATTTTAAAGCATAATAATTATTTTCTTTTTTCACTTAATTTTTGACGAAGTTGGCCTTAATTGCACTTATCCTGACATTTTCACTAAACTGAATAAACATATATAATGGAAAAGCAGTGTGGTGTTTAAAACCTTTTAAAATTCTGCTGGAAAGCTCTTTAATTGGGTCCTGAACCTTCATTTTCATGTGATGAGGACACTTTCTGTCAGATAGTGGGCATACTTGAGTTTGATTGCACACTTTATCAATTAGTTGGCCTCGCTTCTGCCTTTTTAACTAAATAATTTAAGTCATTTGGATGCATGCACCTCAATTATTGATGAATGGATGTCAAATGGGAAACTTAAGTGTTAGTTGCTAATGGCTCTGATGAAGGGGTAACTAGGTATTGGGGAAAAGTATCTGAAATTGTTCTTGGGCATAGTTCGGTGCTCTTTTATACCAAAGTAGGTCAGGAAGTTTATGAAGGAGTGAATTCTAGTGTTCTGCAACACTTGGATTAAAATAATCATTTCCATGTGATGATTTTATGTTTCTTAATTTCTGCACTATGCAGGTGACCTTACGGACTGATAATATTACACTATAATATATGATTATTTAATCTTATTAATCCTAAAATCATGGTGTTCTACTCAGTTAATACCAAATCGCGTCTTTTATGCATGTATTTGTTGTTTTTATTAAAATTTTTTCTACTGGAATGGAGGATTTTTAAATTGGCAATTAGTTGGTTTTTGCTCTTTCTACCTTCTTATTTTCGTAGACATGGAGCTAACCTTTTACTGGGTGTATTAGTGTTTGTGACATATACTGCCCTTAATGTTATAAATGTTTGTTTGTGATCCAGATAGAGTGTTTGGTCCAGCCACAACTACTCGCAATGTTTATGATGTTGCAGCTCAGCATGTCGTGAAGGGGGCCATGCAAGGGATTAATGGTACCTGCGTATGCCTTAAAGGGATTCCAATTAAGTTCTTCCAGAATTGCTTAAATATGATTCTGCAACTGCTATTAGCACGCCACGTAGAGCAGTGGACTCTAGCCACAGATAAATCCGTTTTATATATGTACTTTTGGAATTATTATGTATGACTGTTTCTCCTAGCCTTTAGTTGTGCTGCTGGCATTTTTTTGTCTCACCTAAGTATTGGTGCATAAGTGGTTGCTAGAGCTGATAATCGAATGTTATTGGTCATGAAATATGCGTTTCAGACTTTGTTCTTCCCATTTTAGGGAGTACCCTCTGGTCCTAATTATAAGGCACAAATTAAGACTAAAGTTTGTCCCACTTCATGCCATATAATTAGGACTGGAGGGGGTAATGTTTAATGTTTGTCTTGATGGAGATGATTTATTTTGACTGAATAGGAGAAGAAGCTACACCCTTTTGCTGTTCCGTGCCAAGATACAATATTGCACATTCCTATTCTATATTGTTTGCTTGTGATATGCATTTTGATTCCTTGAGAAGACTAAGTTTGCAAATTTTCAGGTACTGTTTTTGCTTATGGAGTTACTAGCAGTGGGAAGACTCATACAATGCATGTAAGTCGGTGGAAAGTTCTTGCATAATTTTCATCAACTGTTCATTAGTAACTTGATTGGATGTGACATTCAAATCCATTCAAAAACATGGATCTCGTGATTGACTCCTGTTTACATTTACTCGTGAAAAGTAGCAGTCCCTTCTGACCCCTTTCTACGAATGTGACATGTTTTCCTTGTCTTTTTTTTTTTTATAAATTTATTTATAAAAATTAACCTTACTACATAATTCATGTTAACACCACCTTAATTTTAATTGCACTTTTCATTCTTCCTTGTAAAATGCATCTAGGAGGCCACGCCACTTGTTGACACAATCAGTCAGTAAACCCTACGTTCTCATAAAATTATGGACTTTAAGAGATGCACATAAGGCTGTCAATCAAACTGAGCCATCCTGAATATCAAGTACTCCATGCGGTTTCTACAATAAAGAATGAAGTTTTGTGTGTGTTCACTTGTTACCTGCGGTAGAATGTCCATTCAAAGCTTGATCTGAAATTTAAACTTGGCTTCGTAATTAAGCAATCGAATATGAGCTTGACATTGAGTTATTCCTATTCATTTTTATTCTTTTGTCTGACATAAGCAATTTCGTTCTTTTTGTTTTATACTGCAGTTAGATGAAATTCATTACTTTCTGTTGAATCATATCTGAACCTTATGCTGGCGGCAAATTCTTGATGCTATTTTCCAACTAGAAGCAACTACACTTACTAATTTACACTTTCGTCTAAAGTCCTATGTCGGTTAACTAACTTTGCAAGCAATATACACTTTAAGTTTCTAGTCCGTTAGTATTCTTTTGTATGATCTGGTCTCTACAAGTTCTAGAACTTGTTAGTTCCTACAAAATTTGACCTCTTTGATATTTCAAGGTTGCCATTTAAACTCTGATCCGATAAAGTTAACAATTAACCATGTTTTTATCCAGATCATTCTTCAGCTTTGCTGTCTGGAAATCTTTACCTGCAGGGTCATCTACTTTTGTTGGCTCATAGAATTTTCTCTATTGGAATGGTTCATGCTGTCTGACTGTGTTTTTGTGTACAAGAATTATGTACTTGTGTGTTAAAAGATGTGGTCCAAAGCTCTAATGGGGACATAACATTTGATTCTGATCGGAAGTAAATAGAGATTTGTGACTTGAGAATTAGGGAGCACATGGAGTTTTATTTACTTCATTCTTATGGTTTCTCTTTTGTCTACAGGGAGAGCAAAAATCACCTGGGATCATTCCTTTAGCAGTGAAAGATGTTTTTGGTATTATTCAAGAGGTAAATGTGATTTTGTTATTGAGAAATAACAGATAGACTTAGGGAGGTTCTCGAGTAATACTTTACGTAGTTTATTAAACACTTATTGTAACTCTCGGACACCTTTTACTATGTTTCTCAGACACCTGGAAGAGAGTTTCTCCTTCGCGTTTCTTACTTGGAAATTTATAATGAGGTTAGTTCCATTTACTCTATTTTATGAGTAGATTTCACTCATATGCCTGGATCACAGAATTATCCTGATAATTTTCTAATAGTAGGTATTCATCCTAACTAAAAGTTTAAAGAGAGAGAAATTGTATTCTTGATTTCTTTTTTGTAATTATGATTTGTCATGCACAGTGATGATAGTGTGCTTGATCTGATTATATATTCTTCTCTTTCTTTCTGTACTATTGTTGTTACTGTTGCCATCATTAGTTGCATTTATCGCAGCAGTAAACTTTTGTTTGAGGATATGTTAGTCACATTAATGAATTGTACCCTTATTTTGACCTTGAAGTCTTATTAGACTATTCCTGCTTACTGAAAGGCGGGGGTCACTTTAATGCTCGTAGATACTGGTATTTCTAGATTTATTGGTTACATTGGTAATTTGATTCTACCTTGAGTTTTTTTCGTCTACATTTACACTCATTGGAAAATTTAGTCATGGAGCTTCTTAATTTTCAATCATTTGTTTTTTATTAACAAATTGGTTTCTTGTTTTTTGGTTTTTTTTTTGGTTGTTGTTTTAAAATGAAGATGAGATACCTTTCTTTAAAAAGAGGTGCCAAATATTATGAACTTGTTGGAATGGAGGAAAAAGGAAAATATTTTGAGTGTGAGACATCAATAGGCTTTTTCAAGTTGTATTTACTTTAATGAACGGTTGACATGGCAAAATCATGCAATCTTACTCTTGAAATGATCATCAAAGGAATCTAGATTTTCAACATTTTGGAGGCCAATTTTGCTGTAATCATAGTTCCCAAGAAAGAGTGAACAAATGGTGTTCAGGAGAATGTGGGTGGTTTCAGAGAGAAAGACGATAAGTAAAAATCAGCAGGGTCCTTTCGAAGTCTTTGTTTTCTTGGTGGTTGGCGATGGTTCTGAAATCTGGACTGTGGATACAGGATGATTGAAGTTTTTAATGTAAAGTAAATTCCTGGAGCGATTAAAAATGGAAGGGGTCTTCTACTGCTGGCTTTCCAGCAAACTTGTATCTATTGGTTAACTTGATGTTAATTGAGAAATCTGGTCTGTCCCAAGTGGCTTGAGTTTCTTTTCCTTTTGCGAGTATATTGCACATTCTAATTTCTTTTCTTTTTTTTTAATTTTTATTTATTTATTGCTTCTTTTTTCCTCTTCAATTAGTAATGTAGCTAGAATTTCCACTTCTACTCTACTCTATGTAATTGCACTGGCTTCACGCATTGATTTTTTAATTCATAGAGCACTTGTTTCCCACAAATAATAACTGCTAGTTTCTGCTTTGGTTGATTTCATATTTTTTCAACATTCTTCTATCCCTCGCTTTTGAATTTTACAAAATGCTTCCTTGCTCTACTTTGAAAATCCCTTTTCATGTATGACAATCTTTTGAAATTGCTCTTCATTTGATGAACTGCAATTTATCTTTTAATGTTGGGAACTAGTTCTGGAGTTAAGTTCTCCAGGTGACTTTACTTTTCTTCTAAACATGATGAGAGCTCTCAAGCAAGAGATTATCCCTTACTACTAAAATGGACACTATAAAATCATTCAAGTTTAATCAAATTGAAGTAACTCTTTGTATTATAGCTTATGGTTCGTCAAGATTGTGCATTTACAGTGTCCAAAGTTTTTAGATTGTAGTAAATTTTGTGTTGCAAATTTATATAGTCTTTCTCCTTTACATTGGAATTCAGGTCATAAATGATTTGCTTGATCCAACTGGTCAGAACTTAAGGATAAGAGAAGATGCTCAGGTTTGTATCAGATTCACTGCTCACATACTCAATGCATTCCTTTTAGAGAATTTGTGTACCTAACCATCTTCTGTACATATAGAGAACTTGGTTCTTATGTTAGGTCGCGCTAAAGACCTTGAAGGCTTTAATGTCATTAGGCTAAGGTTGGATGCCTTTGTGTACTTGCCTTAAATTGTCATGTTTAATGTAAAGATAGCAATGTGCAATGTTGCACATCCAAAGAGACCGTTACCATTATGTTTGTATTCTGCATTGCCATACTTTCATATTTACAACATGGGTTATAGTGAAGGCCACTCGGTTGTGGTTTGCTGCTAATCTCTTTTAATGCTTGTTCATACTTCATACTGCTTTCTTTAGCAGGAAAAAGTCTTGTTTATCCCGACACTTTGAAATTTGTGGTTTATTCTCATCGGTACTTTCAATCCGCATGTCTACTTTTGATCTCCTTATGTTTGTGGTTTATCCCGACACTACTGCACACAGTGCACTACTAACATCTGTGCTGAAATTTTGTTACTTACCTTGATTTTGTTGAAAGATGTCTGTTAAGGTTCATACACTGTTAAGTTTAAGAAGGAAAGATAGTTTAATTTCGGGCTGCAGCCTGCAAAATAGCTTTTCATCATGTTGGAGAGACAAATGTACGAGAAAGACCTGAGTCACAAATTTGTTTGGCATGTTTGGCACTAAAATTAGTTGATTATTCTGTTTGTCAATAAGGTGAAATTCAACTTTGTTATTATTTTATTGCCTCTAAGGATATATCTGTTGGACTATGTAGGACCTTCTATAGTAGAATCTAATCAAACGTACAATTTCCAGGGAGTATATGTTGAGAGTATAAAAGAGGAGGTTGTTCTTTCCCCTGCTCATGCTCTTTCGCTCATTGCAGCTGGAGAAGGTACTGTTTACGGTTCTTCTATTCCCCTTTCTTGTTTCTACCTTAATCCGTAATGGTGTCTAAGTCTGCTTGGTGAAGCAAACATTACTGTCCAAGTTTACGTCCTGCTCTGCTTATCTTTTTCGCTTGTTCTTCTTGGCCTAATGCACTTTGAATTCTCAAAGATGTTGCATCCAAGATTTCGAGTCCTTATGGTTAACTCCTTTTGTGTGTGCTTTTTTGATTTGTCAATTGTTCATTAACATCTGGCAAAAATTTTTGTTAATGCTAATGCAGAGCACAGACATGTGGGTTCAAACAATGTCAATCTTCTCAGCAGTCGGAGCCACACCATATTTACTTTGGTAATGATCACTCTCAATGTTGTGGAAACTAAATTATGAGGACTTTCCTTGATATGGTGGTTTCTTATACAGGCATACTGCCCCCCTTTTTTTTTTTTGTTTCAGTTTAATTAACTAGTCCAAAAAGATATGGCATTTCATCAATTGCCTATCTGGAACCAACATTTTTGTGAAATGATATCTTGATGTCAGGGGATGGACATATAAAGAAATGGGAGATTGCTAAATTAGGACTTTTAATTTTATGGATCCGCTCCCAAGAAAGTTTAATCATTTTGTCACTTTCACTTGGTCGTCATGAAACTAACAGTGAGTTCAACTGGTTATGACTTTCACTTGGTTGTCATGAAACTAACTGTGAGTCCAACTGGTTAGCCTGTGAACTGGAGTTAAATTAATAAACAAATATCAGTTGAAGGATTCCATAAGTGATACATTAGTTGGCTGCTAATTGTCACTCCTTAAGTGAATCATGAAATGATTACAGGTGTTACTATTTTTTACTTCCTCTATTTTGCAAAAGTGGCAATTTTGCTTAAAAATCCTCAACCATGCATGAATGGATATTTTCTTGAAGGTTAAAGCTATATCACAAAGTGTCTTCTAATTTCTATTCATACCTGGTGAAATAGTCAGTTTCTCTCTATGAACAAAATAAAGTTTCAAGTGAAGCGCAGAAACTACCTAATGAACTGTACAGGAAGTAATGAAGTTTCAGCTATCACGATAATATAATGATAACAATCGATAGCATCTAAAGATTGCAAATGAAAACATGAGTGCTTCTATTTCTCTCTGTTTGAGCATTTGGTAAAATGTGAAGTAAAGCCCTTTACAAGTTGTCACAGTTCCAATGTACTCCTGAGCACCCCCTACTAGAATTTCTTTGAATGTGGAATCTGTTTTCCTACGTGTAGTGTCTTAACACTAAATTTTATCTTAAGTCTAAAAAGGTTCCCTTTGGTTGTGGATGTTAGTCAGCTAGGACAGATGTGTGCCATATGGGGAGAATTATTATCTTTCACATAATCTGCACATGAGCATTTTTAGACTGGTAAAATAGAATTTTAATTATGCATCAAATATTATGGTTAGTTTAGATAATGATTTCCATGGTTACAAATGCTTAATGAACATGTGAAATATGCATCTGAAGCTGCAACCTGTGGAAGTGTCAAGTTTCATGAGATTTGACAATTTCTCTCTTTACTTTTTCATCTGTCCTGGTGTTGACTATCCAAGTTTTTGGAATTACCAGGTTTTTAGATGTAGTGGTTTTCTTTAAGGTTGTAACAATTACAATGGCTTGGCAGACTATTGAAAGCAGCCCGTGTGCAGAAAATGGGGAAGAAAATGTGACCTTATCACAACTTGTATGTTCAAATATCCCTTTCATTCTCTGTTTCTTTTTCTGGTTTGATGGGATGAGATATTCCAGCATGGTTCTAAGACAGTATGAACTGAAATTTCTACGGTAGCACTTGATTGACTTGGCAGGATCAGAAAGTTCTAAAACAGAGACAACAGGTTTGAGGAGAAAAGAAGGTTCTTACATAAACAAAAGCTTGCTTACTCTGGGAACTGTAAGAAATTGCTTCATGTTCTATTCCTGCGCTGTCGTTTCACTTGATCACTTCTTTGAAATACTTCCAACGTCCAAGAAACATCTGCAACATTTTGTTCATTCAATCATTTTAGTGAATAAGCAGTCCACAGGTTCTGCACAGAAGTAATCTTGCATCAACCTTTTTGTGGACTGAAGCAGTCATTTTTTAGTTAGCCATCTGTATACTTTAGGCATTATGGTAGTTGCAAATGATGTCATTTATTTGTTCTGTTTGTCTAGGTGATTTCCAAACTTACAGATGACAAGGCTACTCATATTCCCTATCGAGATTCAAAACTTACACGTTTATTACAGTCTTCACTCAGTGGACATGGTCGTGTTTCTGTAAGTCTCCTTAAAATAATGTTTGTAGAATTTTAAAATAAAATTATTTCAAATGTAACCATGATCTTGGTGAAAACTTTGGGAAGAAGTCAACTTGTAGTTTCCCATTGGCTATTGTTGAGGATCTAGATTCTTTCAAGATTCTCATTGCATGTTTTCCCAGCTTATCTGCACAGTTACACCTGCTTCTAGCAATTCTGAAGAGACACATAACACTTTGAAGTTTGCAAATCGAAGTAAGCATGTGGAAACTCAGGCTTCTCAAAATAAGGTCATCTTTCTCTCATTAAGTTTAGAACTGTAGCTTTTCAGTTCTTTCATGGATCCTTGTACATATTTTCCACTTCTATTAATTTCTCTTTTATTAATAGGTGGCACTCATAATTTTCTTCATTTTCTTTATGCCTTTTTCCAGATTGTGGACGAGAAGTCTCTCATTAAAAAGTATCAGAGAGAAATTGCCAGTTTAAAACAAGAGCTTCAGCAGCTTAAGCGTGGAATGATGTCACCTAACCAGGAAGACCTGGTTAACTTGAAGCAACAGGTCTGTTAGATTGAAAAAGAATACCGTGGTTAGGGAAATAGGTGATGCTGGCAATGCAAACTAAGCTGACTTTGTAATTGCTTTTTGCTACTGATTCTTCAGCCAGTAGCTACTCAAGGTTCATACAAGTCAGAGGACTTTTTGCGCAACAATATCTAGATTGCTTTTGTGCATTGCAGCTGGAAATTAAACTTTGTTTTGCTTTCCACATAATCCTTTTCCCAATTGTGACATCTTCTTTGTGTTACTGTTTCATAACACCATTTCATGTATGTATTCTTCCATAGGAAATGCAAAAAGCTTTTGCTGGAAAATATTTACTTACTATTTCACAAATTCTGTAGAGTTGCAATGATGTGGAATATAGAAAGATTTAACCTTGTGAGGCGACCTCTTTTTTTCCCCCCCTTTAGTTTTCCAGTTGGCTGTGGCAAAGTGACTCTTGTTGAGGTGTTATTCCCCTAATCTGTGCTCAAGACTTTAGTTTTTCTTTCAGCTGGAAGCTGGAAAGGTCAAGTTACAATCACGATTGGAGGAAGAGGAACAAGCCAAAGCTGCATTATTGGGAAGGATTCAACGGTTAACAAAATTAATTTTGGTATCCACAAAAAGTACCACCCCTACAAATGTTCATGGAAAATCTGGCCTCAGGCGAAGACATTCCTTTGGTGAAGATGAGGTACATGATATGTTATCATCACATTTTACAGCTAGGATTAGTTGGGCTTCAATTATGGATTATGGTTATTATATGGTTGATACAGTTTTCTTGAGTGTATATTTCCTCACAATGAGCCTTCCCATTTTTGCAACTCATACAGTTGGCATACCTGCCGGATAGGAAAAGGGAGCATATCATTGATGATGACACAAGAAGCACTGATTCTGAAACTTCTACTGGGGGAAGAAGTGACAACCCAAACATCGACGAGCTAGTAAAAGATTTCAAAAGAAATAGCCGGAGAGGGATGCTAGGTTGGTTTAAAGTCAAAGTAAGTCCATCTTTTTTTTCTTTTGTTGTGTGGTTGTAACTGAACACAGTATCTTGGCAATTTTCCATGAATTTAGTCGACCATCATTTTTAGGTTAGTTTGGTTGACCATCATGAATTTAGTGGACCTCTTTTTAGTGCTTATGTTGCTCTTGTTAGCAAAAAAGAAATGGTTATAGTTATTACTATACTGCTGGAATGTCTTCCTGACTTATTCATGTCAATTTTTTTTTTTTCTTAAGGTTCCATTTTCACAAAATTTTACCCTTTTACAGAATGTACATTCTTAAATTGAAACTACAAGCAAATAAAACAGCTGTTGAGACACGAAAGGGCTGAACCTAAATTCTCTCTCTGTATCATTGCAGAAGCCAGAGAATCTGCTTGTGTCATCATCAAATGATTTTGAGAGTTCTGAGGTTGATTCACTTGCTTCCTCATTATCACAACATACAGTGACATATAGAAATCTGAAGGATGGGAGGATATCTGTTGGTAGAAAGGACAATTCAGCCTTTGGTTCTTTTCCGGAAAGAACCCAAGCTGGTGACCTATTCAGTGCAGCTATTGGAGGTCTACATCTCCACCCGGTGAGAGAAGCTATTCTTACATTCTCATTTCTCTATTGAGAAAAACGATAGAAATTAAGCTGCCTGATCTGGAGTGAAACTTGAGAAGACATTGACTTTCTACAGACAGGGAGTACCATAACTGATCAAATGGATCTTTTCCGTGAACAAATGCGATTGTTGGCCGGTGAAGTTGCACTGTGTACTAGTTCTCTGAAAAGGCTTTCTGAGCAAGCAACAAAGAATCCTGAAGATGTTAATCATCAGGTTGCTTATACAATCCTTCAGTATCTTTTCTTCTTTCATATCCTTGTCTTCTTTCCTGTCCTTTTGATTGTAGTATGCACTTCTAAACTATTCATGATTTTAAATTGTGTGGTTGTCTGATTTAGGACCAAATGCTGAAACTAAAGAATGAGATTAAAGAAAAAAAACATCAGATGCGCGTACTTGAGCAACGCATGATGAGATCTGTTGAGATCACCCCGCATATTTCAAACAGCACTGAGATGTCACAGGTGACTTGACCTAATGTCATCGTCTACATATTCTTGTTTGGAAATAAGCTGTAAAAAACTTATAGACTTAGCAGTTGTCTTTTAATACATGTGATATAGAAGCGCATTTCTTTTCTCTGATGGTTTTATGCTCTTAGATGAATAGTCAACAATATGCACCAATAGGTATAGACTTTCATAATCAGCAATTTTTCCTGAAAGTTGGACCTACTCCTTTATAACTCTTTTTACAGTTTTTCTCCATGTTTAGAATAATCTTTTCTGTTATGTTCCTGAATTCCCTTTTTAACAGAGAATATGTCTTATTTCACCATCTTGCTGCAATATCATGCATTTCCTTTTCCAGTGGCTGTCTTTTGGCCCACTTTCAGTACTATCTTTAAGGAAAGTCAATCTCTTAAGTTAAGTTACTGTTCAGATGGAGCTTCGGTTTATCTGTTTGTAGTTTGAACACTTGCAGAAGGGTGGTATGTAAAAAGAACTAAAATAGGGATAGAAAAAGCAAATACACAAAATTAAAATGACTAGTCAGCTATTTGATATCAAGAAGCAGAGAGAGCTCTTGATTTTGACTACTGAATGCAAGCTAGAATCTGCAACTCTATGTTTGCTTTTTGAACCTTTCTGTAAATGGGAATGATGGGAACTAAAGCACCCAACTCTGTTTATTTTGTATTTGGAGTTTCGAGGAAAGCACCCAATTTGTATATTTTATACCTGGAAAAGCATTTCTGTATGGTTCCAGTCTGTTACTATGTAGACTAGCTGATTGATTTCATTCACACCATCCACTGCTCTGCAATATGTAAACATTGAATTTGTAATGTTTATTTGACTTGGAAAATACAATGTAGTACATACGAATTAATCAGATGGAATATCTAGTGACTAATACCACCTTGTCAAGTGTTCGTATATCAAATACTATATAACATGCTATATTCTCCAATACAATGTGTGCTGGAAATGTTTTTTTAATTTTTCTTTTGCTGGTCCTTGACTTCGTCCCATAACAAAGGTTGGAAACCTATTCATATGTATTCCCAATCAGCCATTTAAAAAAGAAATGTAGAACAGTTCATCAATGTAAAACTAGTTCCAAATTTATTTTCTTGATATAACACGGAAATTTTATTACCTCAAGGGCAAAATGTAATGAGTAGCAACCTTTCTTTTCAGGAGATAAACAGAGTTTACTTTTATATGTTTCATCAATAATTGGTCGTTTCAGGTTTGCAATTAATATTATCACATTTTGAAGTTCCAATAGTGGTTTTAGCTGTAGGAATTGCATTAATTCACTTATGGGGTGATTGTCATAAAGCATTGGTTTGAATTGGGCCTGTGAAGAAATCATTTTTCAGATTCTTTGAATTCTCTCTGGTTTATATATCGTTTTTTAATGTATGGAACACTTACTTTTAGGTATGCTTGTCGGAATTGGGTATAACTTTGTTTAGGTAGAAAGAATGATTGACTTGACTATTGTACTACACTTACTCTACATCTATCAATTAATGTGATAGATTGAACTGCATGTGTAGTACATGCTCCTATTCTATGAAGGAAACGTGCCTGTTAAAAAATTAGCTTCTGCGTGGATATGCTAGGCTTCCTTGTGCACAGAAACACTTCCACCCATGAGATATATATAAGGATGTTTGTAAACTATACGGAATGTTGAGATAATTGTCTTAGGATGTTTCTTTTCTTGCATTGTTTGACCTTGCAATGAAGTTTTTATTTTTAACATTGATGCAGGCATTCTTCAAACTTACCACCCAACTTAACGAGAAAATTTTTGAACTTGAGGTATGTTCATAGACGTCAACTTCTGTTTTGCATAAGGTTCATATTAGTCTAAAGTCTACTTGAACTAACTTCATAATCATGTGGCGTGGTGATGAACAAGATTAAGTCTGCTGATAACAGGGTACTCCAGGAGCAATTGCAATTGAAGGTGAAATACATCTTGATTTGAATTTTTTTGCAGTTCATCAACTTATTGTTTTTGTTTCTTACTGTGTTGGGGCATTTTTGATAGATGTCTGAGAATGCAGAGATGCATAATACCATTGTCCTCCTAAGGCAGGAGCTTGATGCATTATCAGATGAAAGCTCAAGATACCCTCAACTAAGTAATCATGATGAAAATGAAAACAAAGGAAATGAAGATTTTGATTCTTATGACACAATTGCTGATGAAAATACACCGACCAGTGTTGTAAGCCTAAACAGAGCACTTACGTCAGAGGACTCTAAGGAGTGGAACAGCGAAGCTTTTCAGAATTCTCAGCTTCTTATTCAGGTAAGTGTCTTTATAGGCACTGAGTTCAACTTATTTTCAGTACACTAGACTGCATATGTACTCATTATTCTGGTAACCACCCCTTGTGGGGCCAAATTTAGTTCAATTTTTTCATTGTAATCCTTTATGACATAGGCTGCTGAGCTAGAATCACTCAAGGAAGAGAAGGCTGGTCTTGAAGTTCATAACCAAAAGTTAGCAGTGGAAGCTTCTTATGCAAAGGAGCTAGCTTCAGCTGCAGCAGCTGAGCTCCAGAATTTGGCTGAAGAAGTTCAGAAGCTTTCCTACGAAAATGGCAAGCTGACTGCTGATCTTGCTTCTTCTGGTAGAGCTAAAAGCTTTCAGAAACCATTGTCTTTTGACATGAAGCAAACTGGTGGCCAGTGTGTTGAATGTTTGAACAAGCCAGATGGCAGTTTCCTTGTTGAAGAGCTACGTCAAGAACTTAATGCTAGGCACAAAAGAGAGGCTTCTTTAGTAGTTGCATTGTCTGAAAGAGACAAAATAGAAGGTGAATTACGGAAAAGGTATGAAGAGGTTAAAAAACATGAGAAGGATCTTGAATATGAGCTTGCAAATGCATGGTTATTAGTGGCCAAATTACGCAGGCAAGGTAATAATAATACTGAAGATGCATCACCAGGATATGCATGTGATTTGCAAAGAATCACTGGTGGAAGTTTTTCAAATATGGAACAGATGGAAACATGCGAGGAAGGGGATAAAACTCGTGAGAGCGTACAGTTAAGTGAATTTGAAGAATTGAAATGTCATTACAATGCTGAGAGGAGGAGGTGCGATGAGCTTGAGAGTTTGGTTTTGAGATTGAAGGTGTGGCCTCTGAACCCATACATCCTTGACCAGGATTTTGTTGGCAGCATTAAAATTGTTGCATTTATTGATGATATTTGGGTCACTATATCATGCTAGGCTCTTGTTGGTTTCACTATCTCTTGGTTTGTGGTAATTATTTTAGTTTACAACTTTACATGCATTTTTATTAATCAAGTTAATTAAGTCTTGCTGAAGTATATGTTTTTCGCTTTCAGTCAGAACCTTGTAGTTTCTCAGTTATGCTCGGTTGACGGGGTCTTTTCATATTTGTGTGTGATTCTGACTTTGTGTCAAGAAGTAGATTTCTTGATTTAGTTTGGCCCCCAAACAGGAAAAGGGGCCTGAAGAAATGCACATATCTAAAACGAGATTCTTTTTTCTCAATTTATTTCATTTTTCCTGCTGATATCACTGAAATTAGTTAACTGTTTCAGACAAGGGTGTCTCTACTCTCGATAGTTAATTTCTTGCCTTGTGCCAGTCCAATCGAAATCCTTATTACTTATTAGTAAATTGTATGATTGGACTAAACAGAATTTTCAAATACGGTCTTTTTAAAATGTGATGTGTCGAAAGCATCACTGATTTAAAAACTCAAATTAACTTGCTTGAGTGACGGAGCTCTTTTTTACAAAAAAATGAATAGCTTCTATTGTTTTTGTTTACTTTAGCCAATCTGTTCCTTGTGGACCATTGTATAGTTCATTTGAACTGAATTTCTTAATTTTCTGCATTTAAAAAGTTATTACTTAGAAAGAAGTTAGCTCTACTGCTAATATGTATATAGATGGGTAACATGTGCAATATCTTTTGCTGTTTTTCTTTGTTGATGTTATGCTGTGTAAATTATGTTGGTTAAAGAAGAATGTTAATCTACTTCCTCTCTTATCTAAGGGTGATGATATTGGAGGTCTGGATCTCAAAACTCTTGAAGAATTGCAGAATTTCCATGTTGAGGCTATCACCAAGATTTGCCATGCAAAGGTATGCATCAGATGTCATATGGTAGTATTATTAGTTCGTGTTTTGGATAGCTCTAGCTGTTAATGTTTGGGATTCTTATAGTAATTCCCCAGTTAATATATCATGATTCATGGACACTCGCTATTGTTAAAATTGGTGACTGGTATGACATTCTGCCCAAATCTAAAATGTCAAGTGTTTAAAGATGAAATATGACAACACTAAAATCTTTGAAAAGGAAGGATGCATGGGCTTCTTCTTCCATTGGCTGCCACCAGCCCTAACATCGGACAAGATGAAGTAATTTCTTCACTGTGAAAGACTTTTGTCCTCTCATCTCTTGTTTTTGGATCATGTGACGCGGTCCTAACTATGTATCCAATTGTCTATTCAAATTTAATTCCAATTGCAACACTGTATTTATAATATATATATATATATATATATTTGTCACTACTGCTCCTGTTTTTAGGATGAACTATTTTTCATTCATCATTTTGAAAACTGGATAAAACTCGAGTTTTAGAAGGTTAAGAAATAGTAGAGGATAAGAAAACATCTTTTGGCCAAGTATAGTAAAGGATCTTCATCAGTTACATATTATCAATTTGATACATTGTAGAAAAAAATCGATGCAATAAAGGTTTCTGGAATTTCTTCGTACATACTTACAATCTGGTAAAGTAAAACCATTATGGACATATGTTGCATATGATATTGATTCTCAGTGGTTTCGCGAACTTACTTGTTTTACTGACAAGAATGACATGAATATTTTTCACTGTGAAGGAAGGAAAGGAGCCTCTCTTTTCATTTCAAAAACTTTAGTTTCAGAACATACTGGACTTGTCCTGTTGCTGTAGGTCTTTTAATGTGTGATTGTTTTCTAGTTAGAACTTATGAGGTTAACTGTGGTTTCTAACCTTGCAGTATGGCAAAACTTCTTTAATTTCTGTCATTCTCAAGACCCTTTTTTTGGGTTGAATAGTCATTCTGAAGCTTAGCCGCTGTAGTTTTCCACCTTACTCTTGTAGTTTCCATAATGTTTTATGATTGTAATTTCTACAATCAAGGTAGTTTGGGATTTTTTGAGTACACTAATGAATCATTTTCCAGATGTTAGCTGCGAGTTGAGTGAGAAATTGATCACGACACAAAAACTGCATGACTTCTACTTTGTTTTGTTCAGTTTTCAGTGAAGACAGAATTGTGATTTACCTTGGAACTTGAGAACTTGGCTTTTTTCTTCTCTTTGTTCTGCTTCCCCTTTGGAATCTATAGCATATGATTCTCTTTGTGATTTGGCTATTTCCAAGGTGTAGACACTAACTGAGAAAATTGTTTTTCTTGCAGTGTATGAATCACGTTTCATCACAGCCTTTTCTGTGCAGTGCCTACTATTAAGGTTAGTGTTTATCTGGCGCATCACCTTCCCCACTAAACACATGCTAGTAACTCAAACTTTAATATGGAATTCACTCAAAAAAATTAAGATTGCGCGAAATGTGCCTTACATTTTTAAGAGATCAGAGTTTTGGTTCAACTAGTTTTGCTTCTAAGATAGGTAATATGACTAGTAATGCATTGCGGATCAGAGCATTTGAAATGAAAAGAACCGTTAATATATATATATATATATATATATATATATATATATATTGAAGGGGAAACCGTTAATATTAGATAACTATCTATGTATGCAATACAATGGAAAATGAATCTAGATTGAATGAAAGGAAAAATGAAAGGTTCAGGCCCAGAACAATTTGAATAAAATTGGCAGTGACTGCATTAGAAAGAACAGTGAAGATAGTTTAACTCAATTGCATGACGTGGTGGAGGAATAAATTATTGTATAAGATTTTCTGGGTGTTCATGACTTGCAGGTACGCCTAACACTGGAAGTCAGCCCATCGCAACAAACTGCTGCAAGTTGATATTTGAAGAGTTTTCAACACTAACTACTAGTTATTAAACTGTTTTCTGATGTAATTAACATATCTAATCCTTCAAAACTGCAACACCCATATAGGGAAATGCTGCCCATACAAAAAGTTCATATATTACAGTAAATCTCTAAGTGGGCAGTAGTCCCCAAGTCCTGTATCTCATATACTTACACGAATCAATTTTGTAATACCTAATATGTACTTTGCATGCGAAAAAATCACATGCAGTTACGTTCACCTTACAAAAGTCTCAACTCTTTACTGGCCTTTCTCTTCTCTTTGTAATCATAAGCAGGACAAGTCTCGAATAAGGTGTCAATGTTGGCTTCGTAAGGCTGATAATATCCTCCATTAAAATCCCGATCGGCTCTGTGAATAAATAAGAAAAAAATCCCTTGTGAGAATGCCCCCACCCCCAAATTTGTGAAAGAAAGAACATCAATATAGTAGTTTTCAGGACTTTGGAAGCCTGTTGCAATTTGCCGGAGCCCATCCAATTCGCTGTTTCTCATTGTCATAAATCACCAATTTGTCTTGCAGAGAAATGTCTACAAAATGAAATCGAGAGACTATCATAAAAGAAACGAGAGGGGAAGGAGGAGGAGGAGGAGCGGCTAAGGGGGGAGTCGGGGGGGAGGGGTTGTTTGGAGGGACATTCAAGCATGCATGCTTACCTCCAATAAGATTGACATCCCCCAGTCCAACTTCACTTCCATTCAAGATGCCCAAGCATACATTGCCTTCTTTCTGGAAAGGGGAAAACGGATTGTTGTTAATAAAATATTTCGTCTCTGGCTTATTTTCCCTGTAAAATAATCAATTCTTAAAGGCTGCTTACAGTGACGATAAGATAAGCTTCAGGATTCAGCTGAAATGAAATGTTCTCAGCATTTTTGAAGACTAGCTGTAATGGTTTGAAGAGGCTCTTAACATCACTAATGGATTTGAACGGCTTCGGACCTTTCCAGCAAATTGGGAGGGTTTTGTCGTCAGCTGCATCTCGCAACTGTTTCACATTTAAGTCTTTCTTTAGCTGCAAACAGAGGTTTTTGTTAGCTTTTGCCATGAAGAAAAGAGTCACTAGCATTTTCAGGGTCGTTCTCACCAGCGAAACCAGAGCAAGGTAAGCTTGAGAGTTTAGGTAACTGTAAGTACTTCCACTATCGAAAATTATAGATAGGCCTTTAAGTGCTGTAGCCTGGCCCCCATAGAGGAGGTCTGCTGATCCCAGTGAGTAGTATTTCCTGAGCAGATAACATTAACAAGTTAGTCACATTAAAATTCATGAGAGCAAGGCGGTGTTTGGTTGTGAAGCTTAATAAAGGAATTAGTTTAAGCTGAAAAAATCTTACTCAGAAGCGGAGCTTGATAATGGTACCCAAACAATTCCAGAAGAAGGAATAAGATTGTCCCCAAAAAAAAGAAACCCTCCACCATGTACGCTAAGGCAGTGTCCAACTACATTTCTTATCACTCCGGAATTATGTAACTGGTATAAAATGCTAGACTTTCCAGTGCCAAGGCCAAGGACGCCATCTGTGTAAGGCATATGTATTGAATCTGGAACTTCTTGATGGTAACCACAGCTGCAGAGAGAAAAATGAAGCAAAAAGAAACATGAGGAAATGAACAGCGGAAAAGTGATTTTCCTGCCTCAAAAAGAACTGATCAATAAATCTAACACTGGCTCACAAAAAGAAAGTAGAAAAATGTGATCTCAGGAAACTTAATGAAAAGAGAACCCAAGCTAATCAACCAACAAAATGAAAATCAACAAAACCTACCCAAATGCGAGGCGAGGCGCTGAAATACTACCATTGGTAAATTTCAGGGAAAACACATCTTGGACGAGTACACCCATAGATGAACCACTGTCAGCATACTCAATCTCATAGTCACACTGGTCTTGGGATTCACATTCATAGTTTGAAGGCTGAATCGAAACACACAAGGGATCTTCACAAGCGACAAGATTTTTCCTGGGCTTGTAAGGAGTGTGAGGTGCCTGCAAAAACAGATATACAGGGACAAGGTTCATCTCACGAGATAAAAGCAATGGTATTATAGAACTTAGAGCCCAGCTCTGGGACATAAAAGTGACAAAGTTGGAGAGGAAAGAAGGAATTACAGGTATGCATTTGGTACAAGGTGCATCACACTGGAGCCAAGTAATGTCACTGCCAGTGTCTATATCTACAGAATAAGGTTTAGGTGGCTGGCCTATGCTGAGGGTAACATGGAAATACCTGTGAAGAATACAAATAAATCAGCTTGACAAATCACTTCCTTTAACAAAGCATGAGTGGCATAATTCAAAGGAGATAAAGAGAGAATCACTATGAAAGTTAGCAGAAAATCACACGACATCTACTAAACCTGTCATCCACTATCCGTTCATGATAAAATCTAAACCAAGTATCCATGAGACATAAACCCTCAGAAGAAAAAAGATCAAGCATAAAGGGTTTATGGCTGTCAAGAAAGAGCAAAAAACTCACAGAGGGAAAATCATAGCAGTTTAAAGAAAAGAAGGGGAGGAATTATGGCTGTCAAGGAAAATCAATGCAACACTTAAAAGTTCATCAATCTTTTCAGCTCAATTTTGTCATGCAACATCAGCAGGCAAAAGGGTTAAAAGGTAAAGGTAACCCATCAGACGCTAGCTAATTCCAGCGAACATTAGAAACAATGACCCACCTTAAGTTTTCAGAAAAGGCAAAAGATGAATCCATATACATTCTGATAAGTAATTCTACATATAAAAGGTACAATAATTCTAGTAATAGTTTCAACTGATCCTTCTTATCGTATAACATCGATGAAAAAAAGGAAATAAAAGAATCCTATCCAATTTATTAGCCTATAATAACCAGTCAGGGACATGAACAATCAACACCAGATCACACATACTACCTGAGATCCACAGAATGCAAATATTGACCATCAAATTTGAATTACATTTATACAAAGTTGGAGACCTCAGTTGCTCAGTCAAAGAAAAACTAGAAGGAATAAAAACAAGTGCAATTGGAAAATTGCAGGTCATATCATAGGCAGTTTCATCCATAAACTTAATAAAAGGCCACCAAAACGATCTTATCCAGAGCATCATGGAAGAAAGATTAGCGAACGCGAATCCCTCGAGACAAGAACAGAGTAATTAGGAACAAATCAATAATATCTGCAGCTATATCTTACAACCATAAACACACTAGAGATCTAGAACCCATATATTAAAATCATCAGTATGGCAAAAAACAAGTATGACTCAATAGAAAGAAGCAGAAGAAAGAAATTTCTTGATCATCACAGTTGCCCCAACCCAAAAAATTAAAAAGGAAAAACAGAAGAAATTAAACATTAGCGTACCCATCTGGATAAACATTTCCAGTGACCGGGAAAATCACAGAGGAAGCAAGATTCTTGTTGTTGGGTGGGGAAGGGCGTTGGGCGACCGAGTAACAGCCCTGTACACAGCAACAAAACAACACCAAGAAGCACAAATAACCCACCGACAAGGGCTCTCTCCTGGGAGTCTTGCTGTTATCATGCATGTTGATGGATCGATGCTCAATTGAATTGGGACAAAATGATTTCCGATGAGAAGCGTTTGATCAAAACTCGGGAAACTTGTGAAATTTGATGGCCACTTTTTTCCCAGTGAAGTCACCACCACCTCCTTCCCCGTAGTAGTCTGACTGGCTGACTCGCATTTTTTATATATTTCCAACAAAAAGGAAAAAGTTTTGACTTTTCCAGCTATGACGAGGCCAGTGTCGAACCGGTCCATTAACTATTTTCCGTTAACCGGTCCCAATCGTTTTCCGATTTTCTTATTTTACAATTTTTCAATTTATTGGTTTGTCCACTTTTGACTTTTGATGACTGATGTTATTTACCGTTCAAAATTACTCACCACCGTCTAAAGAGGATGGTTTTGTCCCTCTCAAAAAATCAGCAATCAACAAGTATGCCAAAAGAATTATAGGCCGGCACCCAACCAACCCACACTCAAAGGAGGGCTTAATTGAACAGGATAGCGGTCCAAAAGCCAGGTTCAATTAAGGCAATGTTGAGCTGCCAGCTCGGTTAAATTAGGGGCTACCTCGGTCATTAGAGAGCTGGTGAACCGCCAACTCGATTGAATTAAGGTGGGTAAGCTCAATTCCAATATAAAAGAGGTAGTCGAGAAAGAAATTATCAAATTGCTGTATGCGATTATAATTTTATAATCTCAGACAGTTCTTGGGTGAGTCCAGTCTAATATGTATCAAAGAAGGGAGAAATGACAATAATCAAGGACGAACATAAAGAGCTAATCCCTACTCGCATTGTGAATGCATGAAAGGTGTGTATGGACTATAGTAAACTCAACAAAGCTACAAGAAAAAAATCACTTCTCCCATCCTTTCATTGATCAAATTTTGGAAAGATTAGTGGGGCACATGTACTACTGTAGATGGATATTCAAGCTACAACCAAATTGCTATTGATCCAGAGGGCTAGGAGGAAACTACTCCCACCTGTCTTTACGGGACATTTGCTTTCAAGAGAATGCCATTTGGATTATATAATGTCTCTGCCACCTTTCAGAGATGCGTGATGGTCATTTTCTCAGACATGGTGTAAGATATCATCGAAATTTTCATGGATGATTTTATCTATCTTTGGAAATTCTATGTAACATGTCTCGAGAATTTGAGCAAGGTTTTGGGATAAATGTTATTTCATGGTTACAGAAGGAATTATCCTAAAACACAAATCTCGGTAAAAGGAATTGAAGTAGACAGAACGAAGATTGAAATTATTGAAAGTTCAGTCCTTCTGTCTCAGAGGAGTGAGAAGTTTCCTTAGACACGCTGGATTCTACAGAAGATTTATGAAAGACTTCTCCAAAGATTTGAAGCCACTTTGTAAGCTTTTGGAAAAAGTTGCTATGTTTATTTTTGATGAGTCATATTTGGAAGAATTTCAAGAGTTCAAGCAGAAGTTGATTTCTTCGCCCGTAATTGTTACACTAGACTGGCAACAATTTTTTGAGCTTATAAATGATGATAGTGATTTTGCAGTGGGAGTTTTGATGGGGCAATGAAGGAACCCTACATGTGATATACTACCCCAGCAGAACACTAAATGCTACCCAAATCAACTATACAACTACAGAGAAGGAAATGTTGGCTATAGTCTTTGCTTTTGACAAATTCAAATCATACCTACTTGGAATGAAAGTGATTGTCTACACGGATCATGCAACAGTTAGGTACTTAGTTAACAAAAAAGAATCAAAACCTAGACTAATAAGATGGATATTGTTGTTGCAGGAGTTTGATATAGAAACCAAGGACATGAAGGGTGAAGAGAATCAAGTTGCTGATCATCTATTAAGATTGGAGACCAGCTGTGAAGACCCAGAGCATATTAGAGAAGATTTTCCAGATGAGCACCTGTGTAGAATCATTGAAGTCATTGCCAAATTCACCACTCAGAAAAATGTGGTTCGCTAATTTCGCAAATTACCTTGCTGCAGACCTCCTCCCTGTAGACTCAACTTCTCTGCAATTAAATAGATTCTTTCATGAAGTTAAGACATATTTCTGGGAGGAGCCTTATTTGTTTAGGCGCTGTGCAAACCAATTAACCAGGAGATGTGTTCCTGAAGCAGAGGTTGCCACTATCTTACAAAAATGCAACAGCTCTCTCTATGACGGACACTTCGGAGGGCAAAGGACGGCAGCTAAGGTCCTCTAAGCAGGATTCTTCCAGCCTTTGTTATTTAAAGATGCAAGGGAGTTTGTACAAAGCATTGAAAAATGCTAGAGGATCGGAAACATCTCAAAGAGGAATGAACTACCTCAAAAGATTATGCTGGAAGTTGAATTATTTGATGTATGGGGTATTTATTTCATAGGACCATTCGGTTCCTCCTATGGCAACACGTACATCTTTTTAGCAGTAGACTATGTTTTCAAGTAGGTAGATGCAGCAACTGTTCAAACCAATGATGCCAAGACAACAACGAAATTCCTCAAAAGAAATATACTCAACAGGTTTGGCATTTCAAGAATAATTATCAGCAATGAAAACTCTCACTTCTGTTATAAATAATTTGCATTGTTGATGGGAAAAAATGGAATCAAGCATAGAATGTTTACCCTCTACCATTCCTAGACTAATGGGCAAGCTGAAACATCTAATAGAGGGGGAAAAGGATACTTGAAAAAGTTGTCAATACAACCAGGAAGGATTGGTTAGCTAGACTAGATGAGGTATTTTAGGCTTATAGAACAACTTTTAAAACGTCATTAGGGATGTTACCGTTCAAGCTGGTATATGGGACGGCATGTGAGCTGCAAGTGGAGTTAGAGCACAAAGCATACTGGGAGGAAAGGTACTCAGCAAGGATCATGCATAGAGCCAGCAAGCCAGAATGTTAAAACAAAATGAACTGAAGGAATTTAAAAAAGAGGCTTATGAATCATCCAGGATATACAAAGAAAAAACCAAGGGTTATCACGACTAGAAACTAACAAGAAACATCTCGAGGAAGGTCAGCTGGTGCTGCTTTATAACTCAAGGTTGAGGTTGTTCCTTGGAAAGCTGAGGTTAAGATGGACTGATCCCTACCAAATAGAGATTCTAAACAAGGAGTTGTTAAGATAGTTAACCCATAAATAGGTAACACCTTCTTGGTAAATGGTCAGAGGCTGAAGCCATATTATGGGATGAAGAAGGATGAAGGAAAACATTGCAGTCATGTACTGTATCTCAAGGAGCTGGATTAATAATGTGGCTAAGTCCGGCATAGTACTATAAACGATGCATGGCATAGGAGGCAACCCATTATAATTATATATGTATATGTAGTTTTTCTTTGTGTTTTAATCAGGCAGAAGCACAATTGATCATGAGAGCATAAGTACCAATGACCCTAACATAACAAACCCTGAACAAAGCTCATAATGAGAGCAATGATCCATATCTTCCTTTGAGGCCATGGAAACACAACTAATTAGAGGGAAGTCCCTGTTCACTCCTTCTAACAGCTCTCTCACTTATTCTTCATTTCTCAGAAACATTGAGGACAATACTTCACTTCAAGTATGGGGGAGGGAAGTAGTGTACAGGGTGTAAAATAGTTTACTGCTAGTGCTTTCTTTTATATATATATATATATGTAGAGTCTCTATTGGTTTTAGTTGCTATGATCCATCATAAATTATGCTCTAAGCAGTGTTAATGCCCTAGGATGATCACTTTCTGAACCTAAAATGAACATCATTCAGTCTGATTTAGAGTATAGCAATTTACACTTCCTCGGGCGAGCATTATTACCACTCAGTTGAGTGACTGTGTGGATTGTAATTTAATATCTTGCATGCTTAACTCATTGTTCTGTTCAAGTGATTGTTCCTAGTTGTCTGAGACTTGGGAGTACTGTAAACCTAGGAAGTAGTCTGATGCAACCCTTCACATTATGGAAGACTTGATTTGAGCCCATAATGGTCTGTAAAAACTTGAAAACCTGGGAAAAATAGAAAGGTTGGTGGATGAAACTAAGGCTAGGATGATGAACTTGAATGAGGGAGGTAAGGATGTGGCAGTGGAATCCCTGAGAGGTGAGGCTTACGCAATTAAAGAGCGGAGAGTCTTTAGGCTCATCAGTGAGGTGAACGAAACATTTGGAGATTACCATAAGTTGCTGAAAAATTTCTGGGTAAGGACCTGAGTGGGAAAGAGTTCTAAAAAAAAAGGCATATGGACCACTAGAGAATAGTAAATGAGGAAGAATTGATGCTGCAATGCCAGCTGATCAGTGAGTAAAGTCCTCAGAATTACTCCCTAGTTGAACACACTAGTTGAAGATGATAGGGGAACAATCACGTTACACAGGAATGTCTATCTGAGCTTGAATAGAACCTAATCTTTAGAATGGGTTGTTAGACTCACAAGAATTTAGTTGCAATGGAAAATTTCACACACTCACATGAGTGAACTGTCTCACTTGCATGAGTCATGACTGAACTAATGTATATCCTTGTAGCTCATTCTGAGGCACAAATTTGACACTCATCTCACTTAGTTTATATATGTTTTTGAGTCAGTTTGGAGGAAGATTATTAGTCTTTGCTTGGAAACAACTTTCTATGTTTGGGGAAGTTGATGAGTGTCAAATTTATATATTTATAAGTATTAATTTTAGTCCTCTTTTCCATATGCTACAAGCTTTATTTCTAACCACTTCTCCATTTTCATTAATTTTATTTTGAAAAACCCAATTTTTCCCACTCTCGGGATAATTTGTTGGTATTTATACTAAAATCCACACATTATTTCTTTGAAACTAATTTAGTTCTTCTTGCATTGCTAATATCCAAAATTCATCATCTAGTACTTCCTTAATATTTTTAGGTTCAACTTTGACGAAATCCAAAATGATTATTGTGATCATTTTCATGTAAAATTATTGACCGTGTTTTCACTCTGGTTGATAAATTACCAATAATTAGTTCGTGAGGGTGATTCTTTTTGAACTTCCAATCCTTTTGCAATTCATTTAATGTAAAATTAGGATAAAAAATAGTCGTTACCTTCATTACTTACCTTGTGAAGTTCGCTTTGAGTTGAGACATCATCAGATTTATTTGGATCATCTTTGTCCATTGTTGTCCTTGTTCACCATCATTTTGAGTGCCACTAGTATTGTTAGTTGGAT